AACTTCTCATTTACTCTGGTTCTGAATTGAAATCACGAAAGATGATTCAGTCTGAGCTATATATTCATTCTGGATGTAAAAAATCCAATCAAACACCCCAAGGCAAAGAGAATCAATTCCAGTGGTTATACACATATTGGTGTGCACAATTTTTGGGTGTTCAGAATGTTGGGGGCAGAAATCCAATTTTCTTGGCAAAAAGGGCAGAGTGAGGGGCTTAGTAGCCCAAAAGTTCAAATCCACCTTTCAACTTAATGGGTGAACCCTAGTGCCTATGAACAGTCACCTACCAGATGTTTATAGCCAGCTTGTTTGCATTACACAACCCCAAACCACCAACTTTAAATCATGAATCTTGGGCAAGTGGTATAAAATAGGTTTGAAAGAATCATTCTGAAAACAAAACTATGAAAAACTGACTTTTGAAATTTGCAAAAAATATTACAATTATTGCACTTAAAGAGTTGTATGGTATTCAAAAAGAATGATAACAAATGAAAAAAAATCAACTCCAGAAACCATTTAGAGCTCATTATCCAGGTCAAAATGCAATTTGAATTTGATCATACTGCCTTTCCCACTGTATTTTCCACTGTGAGTCTGACAAATGCCTCACTCCACACCAGTTAAAACCATCTGGTATTTATTTTCTTCAAAATTTTCATTTATTATCATTCCTCCAGCATACCATACTCCAATTTCTATTTTCTCATTTGGAGCAATATTAAAACTTCAGAAAAAAAGTGCAACAACTGTAATTTTTTTTTAAAAAAAACAGTTTTTCATTGTTTTCATAATCATTTTTTGGAACCTATTTTATACCACTTCTCAAAGTTTCACAATTTCAAGTTGGTGGTTTGGGGTTGTGTAATCCTAACAAACTGGCTATAAACATCTGGTAAGTGACTGAACATGGGGCCTGTAGCCAGCGAAAATGTTTGGTGGTAGGTGTGTACAGTGATACAGGTATTGCCACTGTAGGTTCCACATAAAAAGCATGGCAGCTCCAAAGGGGTTCTTAAGGGAATTCAAATGTATTTTATTCTGGTTTTTGGCCCCCTGGTAATGGGATCGGACATCCCAAGCCTGCAGACACCCGTCAAGCCGTGTTGTTTAGTGATCTAAACAGGTGTGGCCAAAGCAAGAAAAATTTAGAAAAATCTGACTGGGCTTGAGCAGGCAAATTACCCCCTGTACTCCCAACAAACTGATAAAATTTAGACCAAGAATGAGAGAATTTTTAATAGAGATTTTTGGGGGAACAAAAAGTAATTTTTGTTGGAAAGTCTCTGTGAGTCGTAAAATGAGGGAAAGTGCCAATGATTTTTTACTTGGAAGAGACTAGGCGTTAAGTAGTCTACGTACAAGAGATTAAACATGTGGGTGAGAAGAAAATGAATATAAAAATGAATAACAATTTTAACATATGCATGAAAAGATGACAGGAGCAAATAATCATTGATAAAGACTAGACCCAGGTTTGAGGACTACAGGGATTTCAGCACTAGGCAATGAGAAAAGGTGCCACTCAGACACTTACAAGACACAGTGAATTAAATAAATTATATCATCTAAACATCATTAATTAGTCAGGGTGATAGACAGATTTTTCAGGGATGAGAAGAGAAAGAGACGAAATTCCAACACAAACAAGTGGTTGTCTGGCCGGTATTCATCTGGGATGAACTGACGTAGATGCACGCTCGTGGGCGAGGACTGTCTGCGAGAGGATGATGAGGATAAACCCGTGAGGCTGTCCTTCTGGATGATCAGGTGCATCAAAATCAACACACTGATTAATTTCCCAACGTTAACTGCCCTCACTTCGGTGCGATGGCACATGGCTCGTGTGCGCAGGTTCACGTGTTCAAGCAAACCTCGGTCGTTAAGTGACGGCCCGGGACGAGGCGGCACCGGAAACCTCCTAGCTCTGACAGCCCCACATACCCGGCCCCACACTCGAATTCGGGCTATCGATGAGCCAGTGGGTTATCGATGCAGTGAAATGTACAGCTTTCAGAATGTTTTACGAGCAGTGAAAGTGCACTCACAATTTGCAAGTTAGCCGTCTCTACTCTAGCGCACATAGCAACCAAGCGTGCCCGGAGAACGACGTAGTAATATATCGATATGGAAATAAATCAAAATGGATTCATTCCGGGATCACTAGCCTCCACGTATACTGTCATTTCGGCACACAAATTCCGTGAAGCCTCATCAAGTAACTCCCCACTTTCTCCGTAGTCCAGTGACGAGCAGTGTCCCATCTAAGTACCGCTTGTTCAACCGGTGGTTTCCCCGGGCCACGCTGCCTTAATGAATCTGTGCCTCGCTTTTTCGAGTTGCATCATGGAAACTCAAGACATCTGCTCTTTGTAGACGCCTGTGTTTTGCACAATTTCGCATGGAAGTTGAGGTACTCGTACCCGAGCTTAAATAGCCAAGGTCCAGTTTGAAATGTAAGAGACTTCTCTCTCGACTCTTTCTTCAAGTCTAATCTTTCATCCAAGTGATATTGGCAATTAGATCTTATTCGCAGCTACAAGATTTGTTTACTACCATGGGCTTTTATGATGACCGTTCCCGTGGTCCTCACATTGGGACTATCATTACATGGATACTATCTTTTCACCTTACTTATACGATAAGTTCAAGTTTAAGTGGCTCAAATTTTTTGCCTAACTCGAACCTGAGAACGAGTTCAAAGTTCCCGAAAAACACGACATCCTTGCCGGTTAGAACTGCTTTTGCCGGATCAGTGAAAGTGAATTCACCGACGTTGGTGCTCAATGCAGCCCATGTGGTTACGAGTGTACCGCAAATTAGGAGGTTTGATTGGGCCGTAGCGTATGTCCCGATTCTCCCACATTGTGATCGACCGATTCTCTTGCAGGATTGTCATCTGAAACTATTTCTGATAATTTAGGAAAAAGACGGCAGCCTTCGATGGGTTCAAAAGGTGAAATTTCAAATTGGGAAACTTTTCAACTTCAATTGCTAACATTAGTTGTAAACCTTTCCCAAAAACCGTCTCTTAGGAGCGTTTTTGTAATTAACAATCAATTTCCAGGACCACTGATTGAGGTCAGTCAGGGAAGCTCTTGAGAAAATCCGGTATGTGCTCCTTTACTGACCTCGCATTCCTTTGCATGGGTTCCAGGCGAATGAGGTATGTGTGGTTTTCGTGTTTCAAATTATATATGTAGTTTGCTCAGCTAAAAAAGAGACTTCGTATGGTAAAAACTTAGGGAGATACCATCATAGTAAATGTTAAGAATGAGCTGAACATTCCCCTCAGTATTCATTGGCATGGTGGGTGGTCTAGCTGGAGTCCATGCCAAAGCAAATTCACGAAACTAATATTCTGACTTGTTCACGTAGGCATTTACCAAAGGGGTACCCAATGGGTAAGTTCAAGCTCTACCCAAAATCATGATATGATTCCTTAAATTGTTTTTTTGGCATTTGGGATGAAAGATGGATGGTGTTTCGGGGGTAACTCAGTGCCCACAGCAACCTGGAACTACATTCACCTACCAATTCACTGTCAAAGACCAGTTTGGAACTTTTTGTGGGTGCTTTCCCAAATTAAGAAGACTTATTCGGAATTAGTTCAGCTACTTCAGTTGCAAAACATCTTTCTAATCCCCTTTTTCAAAATACTTGGTTTAAACAATTGACTTGAAAGGGTATCACGTGAGCTTTGTTTACATTTGTACTATATCGATAGGGTCGTGGATTGTTTTGTTAACCTCTTTGACATACTTTTCCAATTCATATCAATGGATGATTCCTTGAAACTCGCCAAGGCACACTATGGCGCCTTATTGGCCGATGGTATTTCTGGCCCATTGATCATCCACAGTCCACGAGATCCTCTGGTTCGAGGCAAAGACTTCGATAATGACCAGATTCTTTTTTTGAAGTAAGTTTAAAATAATTCAATTGCACGTCGAATTCATGGAATGATGTTTAATCTCACGTTTCCTTTTTCTAGTGATTGGTACCACGAGTGAGTAAAATGAACCTTTTGATAAAAAATGGACGTTCTAATTCTTGAGTTCTTCAACGGTTGTTTTTAAGCCCAAGCACCACCATCACACGTCAACTCTTATCATTCAAAGGATATAACGGATCCTTAGCAGCCCCTTCCCCAAATACCGGTACGCGCGGAAAAAATTTCATCCAATAAAATATGAGAATTTTTTGTTTATTGATGTTTGGTGATCCTTCCATGAAGCTTTATTAAATGGAATAGGCTTCTTTAACTGTGAAAAGTATGGCGATGGAAAGCCATGCCAAACGAACAACAGCCCTCTAGAAATCCAGGTACCCCCCAGACAAAGGTCTAGGATACGATTGATCCAAGCAGGATCGCATGCTTTATTTAAGGTTTCAATCGATAACCATCCATTGGAGATTATTGAAGCGGATGCTACCCCAGTTAGCAGTTCAACGCTCTTCCATAGAATCAACCTGCATAACGCGGAAAGGTAAAGCAAAATACTACAGATTTCGTGTCAGGAAACACAGGCTTATTGATCTAGGTTCCCCAACACCACAAAAAAGGTATAGTGTTATATTAGATACTCGAGAAGACAGAGAAGGCGATTCGTTCTACTTAAGGGCCACAATGGACACCGATTGTTGTGAGCATTACCAATTCTTTTAAGGGTCTATTTGTTTATTAGCCAAGGGTACTGTTGAAGTCAGTTGTACTAATTCGAACGGGTTTCAACCTCCCTATAGTTGCTTGGCGTAAGTAAACTTATTTCTTGAATTTACGAATGATTAAATTGCTGAAACCCTCACAGTCGCTCCGGGAATGGATACTGCCGAGGGAAACACGGCCTTGGCCATAATACGAGTATCTTCCAAGCCTCTGAAAAGTGGCAGAGCTCGTTCTGTAGCTGCCAGACCAACTACCCTGGATTGGAAGGACACATTGAATGGGCCATGCATTGACTTGGATCAGACAAAACTTTCTCCAAGAATCAATCCTAAATTGAAGACGAATTCACTCGGAAGAGTAAGCTTTGTGATCATCATATTCCCGGCTGGAGCAGAAGTTTCAATTCTATAGAATACTTATGCATGTCCTGATAGGTTTACTTCAACACAAGCTTTGGTACTATTATTGATAAATCACTCAAGGTTCCTAATAATACATTGGGAAGATTCTTTGTCGATAACACTACGTGGATTTGTAAGTTGATGTTTAACCAATTGAATTTGTTTTTCAAAAAATGAATCATATACTTGTTGCCTCCAGCTCGCGATTCAAAACCACTCCTTCCTGAGCTGCTGAGGGGAGGAAGTAAATCCTTGGATAGCTCTGAGGTTGCTACGCAGACCATAACACGGCCGGGAATTTATGACGTGGTAGTGAACAATTTGGACCAGGCAATTGATCATCCGATCCATCTGCGTAAGAAATCTAAATTCATTTTTCTTCTTGTTGTAATTAGTGTTCCTAAAATTACATATCGAAATTTTTGAATGGATATTCTGTGATGCGGGTGACTCGGTCGAATTGCAGATGGTGTTGACGTGAGCACAGTGTTTAGTCAATCTTTGATACCGTTTTAAGCTCTAATTTTTCTTTCTTGATATCAGTCATGTGTAGTTGCCTCGGGGAATGGTACATTGAGTGAATCAAACCTACAGTTGGCCCATTATGAACTAGATAATCCACTATGTCGAGATGTGTGAGTTTCATTTTTTTCTATGGAAGGTTTCACTCACTTCTAACTAATATTGCCATATGTCTGTTATATGGATTGTTCTTGGATTCAGCCATGTGGTACCTGGGGGAACCTTTCTAGTTAGTAAGTACAAAAAAAATTGCATCAGTTGATTAGAAGCTATAAAATCAAAGTTTTCAATTCAGCAATCAATTAATGTATATAACTCCCAATCCAACCAGTGCGAATAAGGGCTGACAACCCTGGAATATGGATTATTCATTGTCACATTGACTGGCATTTGGCTGCCGGTTTTGCAGGAATGCTAGTGATACAGCCAGATGTCCTGGAGCAAACTGTATTGCCTCAAGAAAACCAAGGTCTCTGTCTCAAAGGTGGAAAAAAAATCTAAAATTCTGAGGAGGTTTAAGGGAAAGAATTTATAAACCAAAATTTCTCTTGTTTTGGAGGCCTGGAATCCAAAACTTATTTCTATGTGATTACCATGTACTTATTTCTTGGACTTTCTAAGCTTACAGACACACAGCATTATATCTTATATGTACAATCATACTTGTTTCCCATTTTAAATTCCTTCAATATATATGGACTATTATGTGATTCATCTGTCCTACCTGGCTAGATTTTATTTCAAACCCACCACTTTTTTTTGTTTTATGCTTGAAAGCTGATGAATCAATGGATTATATTAAGAGAATTAGAAGTCCAATTAACAATGAAATTTTGAAATAATAATAAATACAAAGACTAAATGAATAAGCAGAAAAAAAATGAAGAATTTGACACCAATTGAAAGATTGGAAAGAAAAAAGAAAATAAAAGGGCATTGATAAACGCACGCCAGCCCCCCTTGCGCACGCCAAACCGCATGCCAGGTGCAGATTGGTGTGCGCACCTGCACGCATCAGGAGAAAAACCTCTTGATGAGCTGGTCTTAAGCCCAGTTCATCGGGAAGGTTTTCTCCCAATGATCTGGACTGTGTACCAGCTCATTGGGAGGGTTTCCTCCTGATGAGCTGGTTGTAAGCCCAGTTCAGCTGGATTCAAAGCCATCTTGTTGGGAAGAAACCCTCCCGACGAGAACCTATGACTTTATAGTCTTTGGGCTGGGAGGAACCCCCTCCCAGCCTTGTTTTTGTTTTTTTTTTCCTTTTTTCTGGATTCTCTGCCACTGTCCCATAGGACCCATGCCTGGGTCCTATGGGACGGCGGCGGTCCTAAACGCATATATATACATATGCGTTTAGGAATCTGTGGCGTGCAGGCCTGCACGCCAGTCTACACTCTGTAGGTTGGCATGCTGGCCTGAACACCAATTTGCTTTGGTGTGTAGGCGCGCACACCAATCTGCACCTGGCGTGCGGTTTGGCATGTGTTTATCAATGCCCAAAAGAAAAAGATAGATTGATACAACAAAAAATGTGTTACTAGGAAGTTGAGACATTTATGAGAATGAATTGACCAATGATAATAAAACAGAGTATGTGTTAAATTCAGAAATGTTTTGATGGAAAGTGGATTGGATTAACGAGGTATGAAAAAGAGGATTTCCTTCCGGTTGACAAGGACCGGAAGGACGCACTCCCAGCCGTTGAGGTACACAGAAAAAGCCACACCTTTTCTTTGATTCTTAGTGTAACTCTCTCCCAAGCCTTGACAAAAGGGCACATTCATCAGCATCCAAGTCTTCAACTCACATTTTTCCTAGTGTAGTTTTTCTTTTCCCCTCTAAGCTCTTTTCTTTAGCTTGAAATGTTCCACACCAGCCGTCACCTCTTTTCTTTAGCTTGAAATGTTCCACACCAGCCGTCACAGGCTCTTTTTGACTAGCCAACCCCCAAACCCTTTGGGGGTTGGCATTTTTTTAATTAAATATCTTGGGGATGCAACTCCCAAACCCGCTGACAGGTTTGGGGGATCAACTCCCATTTTGCGGGGAATCCAGTGGAAATTTTGGGGTTTTGGGGGTTTGGGAGTCAAGTCTCCAATTCTAGGGAGTCAATTAACCAAGACACTTTTTGTATTGGGCTGCATTTCTGACTAAATACAAGAACTTGTAGTATCTGTCTTTCGATACAATAAAAATACAATTTATTTGGAGAAAAACAGGTACAATGGTTCCACTGTTGATGGATGGTGAACGTTTTTTGGGGATTTAAGAGCATCTTTAACTGCCTGGGGGGGCAATCTGCTTGTGTTACCTGGCCCACAACCACATTCCATAGAGATTGTCAGTCACTTCCAATTATGGACTGTGTGAGCCTGGGTCTCAATAGTGGCTGCAGGACACAAGATATGGGGGGCACTTTTATATGTATTTCTTATGAGAAGAGGAATACAAATAAAAGTAAGAGGAAGAGAAGAAGAAGAGTGAAAGAAATAAAAAAATTTTGTTCTTTATTTATTTTAAGATGATGATCAAAGTTCTGGCAGTCGTACTGTCCCTTTTTGGATGGCTGCTGACAGTCTTACTTTCCTTAGTAGGATGGCTGTTGTAAGCGGAGCTAACTCTGACACCTCCAAATCAACAGAAACTGAAATGGGTTATTGACACTGAAGAATCAGGTCAACCACAATTTTTTAGATCAAAGATCAAGGCTCTTTAAAGGGAAACCTATGTAGTTTTCAGTTGTACTACCAAACAGGAAGAATTGAGATAGTAGAAGCTAGAGTTTGCTTTCTTTGATCAGGGCTTTGGTTTGATGAGGAATGAAGAGAAGCTGAGAGAGACAGAGAAGAGAAACAAGCAGAAAGATGCTAGCTTAAATTATGAGAAGTGACTTACTAATGATACCAATGACACTGTGTAGTGGGAAAGGTAGGAAAAGTGAGGTACTTCTGGAGGATAAGTGTTTGCTTGATCTGGGTCTGGTTGTTGGTGTTCTGTGTTGGTCTGCAGTCTGAAGATCCTGAAAATGCAAACTCAGTATCCTCTGAGAGAATTTTCAGAGTTGGATTACATAATCACAACATGTAAATGTGGTAGAGAGTTGGAATTCCAACTTGGTTGATATTTCACAAGGTACAGTGAAATATTACAAAGTCTGTGAAGGAGAAGAGTAGTGTAAAGGTGGGTAGTGGTGACTAAGCTTGAAATAACATGAGGAATTCATTTCTGAAGTCAGAATTTAATAAAATATTAAGATAAAAGGGTTACAGTAGGAACATATCAGAAAAGGAGGACTTAGGCAGTCTTCTGGCCAGCTTGGCTGGCTCTAAGGCTGACAGACTGTCACCTTCTGCACCTGCTCAGCCACCAACCATTCATTCCAAAGCCTAGCCTGATCCCTCTTTTGACATCATGGAAGAACACCTCTGACACATTTACAACAAAAAAATCATTTCTTCCAACCTTGTTTGTATTTTTTCTTGTGGGTTTGTTTCTCTCAGTTAGATTTTAGGTTGTCAAACAATTTCAATTGAAATTTTCATGAGTTTTTAACAACCAAAAAGAAATGAATCTGTGGTTTTCAAACAAAAATATAAAGAGAAAAAAACATATGAAAGATTGATCCAAAAGCAGAATTGGGTGAGACAGAAGAGAAAAGCAAGATATGACAAAAAAAGTTCTGTTCAATTGAATTATGATCATACATCTGCTTTGGATTTTCCTCAATCTCATTAACATTCCCAGAGTGGCTTTGTAGGGTGTGTAGTGTAGTGGTTGGCGTGTGTTGGAGGACATGTGTCAGCCTATGTGATGCCAAGACAAGTGTCTTCTAGCTACACAAGGTGCAAAAACTAAGAGTTTTTATGGAAAAAACTCAGGGACAAAACTGGTATAAGTAATTCAGAAGAATTACGTGAAATATATGGATTAAATCCAAAAAGTGGCCAATTTATATTAATAAAATTAATATAAATAAAACCAGAGGGGCCTGATAAATCAGGGGTGGTTTAATCCCTCTAAGGTATCGTGCAAAAAGCAGAGGATTTAGGTACCCGGAACACTGGGGCCTGTGAACAGGTGTGGTTTAAATCCCAGGAAGAATTTAAGGGGAAAATCTCAAGAAAAGGGTTATTACTTACTAGTAATAATCCTATGGGGTCTTGAGGATCTTCAATGTGGAAACTGGACAGTTGGGAGCGCTCAGAAAGGTTGATTTTGGTTGCTGGGTGGTAACTGTTGAGTTTCTTGAGGAATTTTGAGGCTTTAATAACAGCAATAATAGTAGTAACTAGGCTAATTACAAGTGTAGGGGACTTGTAAATGGTAAGTATGTTTCTATATTGTATTGTAAAGCTGGGGGATCATTATTTGGGCGGTCAGAAGGCCTTTTAAATACCTGAGGAAGGCCTCAGGGGTTGCTCAGGGGAGCTTAGTAGGTCTTGGGAGCGCTTTTGGGCCCATTTTAGCCCACATGGTGACGCAACAAGGGCTGAAACCTTGGGAATAATATTCTAGAAGCTCCAAGGGGTCATGCACGAATTTATTTGAACCAAGAATATCCCTTAGGAGCCTGTGGGTAGGGGCTAGTCTGTTACGTGGAGCTATTTCCTTGGAAATGGGCCACGGAATATGCCAGAACTGGTTTCTGGGGCTTGTTACACGTGCTAAAAACTGGAAGATGGAATATACAGAGTTACTGTAGTATATTCATGAATATTCTATCTTGTTTATATTTTTATTACACGTGTGGGGGCTTTGTTGACACGTGCATAGTGAGTTTCTGGGGCTTTGTGGCCCATTTCCTTGGATACTGGTAACCCAGAGGGGGTTATGCATGTATCCAAGGAGGGTAGGCATACTTAGCACGCGCGGGGGCTTGAGCCTTGGGCTCAATTGTAGTCAGGCGCGCCTGTCAACAGTGCGCAGCATGACTACGCGGCGCGCGGGCTTGGAGATAGTACATGCCACGCTGGTCTATCTTCCAAACTATACACAACACTCCAAATCTGAGACAAAAATTGGAGTATATGTATATTGTTATGTACAATGCATAATTATTCAGGTGCCCGTGATCCATGGGTACCTGTTAATTCTTTAAGTGATTATTACAGGATGAAGGGGTTACAATTAGGGGTACCTTTAGCTGAGGTACCCTAGGTTAAATTGTACGTAGATTCAGAATTTGTAATAATAATTAAAGTTTTCTTTATTCTTTCTAAGTTATTTATATATTTTAAGTGTTTTTATATTGTTTACATAAGTAAATTAGTTTCCTTTACCTATGTAATATTTTTACTTTATTCTTAGATTTTTTATGTAATTTTATTATTATTTTTATTTTGCTATGACAGGTTGTCTCTGCCATAGTAGCAAGCTGATAACATGGGTGGAGTGCAGCCGGGAGATGACCTGCAAAAGTCAGCTGGCATTGGCCAGCTTGTTTACCCCTGGAGATGTTCTCAGGTTTGTTTCACAGGACCGTTGGAGTATGAAAATGCTTCCCAGGCAGTCAAAATTTGGATTGTGGCCCTGTTGGAGTTTCTCTGATTTTTTGACCCCAAAAAACTACTGGACCCCACTGCCTAGCCCCAATACTGAAAAGTGAAATTCTTGGACAAGTGATATCAGCCTGCTACTATTCAGAGACAACCTGACCATAGAATAATAAATATTTAGAGACATTATTACATATACTACCCCCATAGCATATGTAATTAATGTCTATTTTATATGTACATAATATAGAGACATTATTACATATGTACATATAAAAACATTAATATTTAAATAAGTGGAATCACTATAATAGAGACATTATTACTCATTACATTAAGTTTTACTAGTCATGAAAGAAAACATAAAAATAAACCAAAAACATTTATAAATAAACATTTTTAACATGAATCTACAAATAACTTATAAACCTTAAGCAAAAGTTAGAATATTATTTCAGATTCTTAACTTTCATGCAAAATAACCTAGGGTACCTCACCAAAGGTACCCCTTAATTATTACTCCTTCATGTACTTCTGTGTACTCTGAGTGACACTTGTTCATTTTGCTAGAAACCCTCCCAGTTACATCATACTACATGTTGTGACAGGTCTACACATGTAATTAAGGTTCATGCAGTTCGGGAAAAATCCACAAATAAGTTTGACATCATTGAAACCTTAACTACATTGTCACAACAACTGTAACTGGCTGGTCAAAAGCCATTTGTGGCCCTTTTTGGCCCAATTTGGCTAACTACGCCTGGTTAAGACCAGCCCACTGGTCATTAAAGGGTCTCAGTGACCAAACCATGGCTGCAGGTTCGTCGCAGAACCCCCTAGTGTGTGTTACAAGCCTCACTTCAGCCCTCTGCCACTTGTAACCAAGGACTACAGGTGTCTAGGCAGTGCTACAGGTCACCAATGCCTAGTAGGAGGCTTACACCAGCCAAACAGAGTTCTGAGTTCGCCTCCAAGGGCCCAGAATTAGTATATAAGGAGCCCTTCTTGCCCCCAAACTCTGATTCCCCATCTTCATCATCACTTACCAGCAATAACCACCTCCAACAACCAGTTTATCACCTGTTTTGGCCCAGTTCCTGCTGTTTTTCATCCTGAATTTCAACCAACCAACCATCAAATGTTCCCCAGCACTCTCTCACCACCTGTTACCCAGTTTTCTGAGCGCTTCCAGACCAGTTTTCACCCACCTGAAGTCCCCCTTGGCTTGGAAATAGTACAAGTAGATAATATTTCCTTGATACTTCAGTTGTAGGCATTTGTCTGGGCATACTCCTTTACACAAAGGACCAGATCATCAGGTACATAAAAAATACCCCTGTTTCAACAGGTCCTGATTCATTGGAGGGCACCATAAAAACCCCTGTAACTCAGGCCCCTCCCTTTATAAAAACTTAACAGTTTTTATTTCTTCTTTTCTTAGTATTAAAAACTACCTTTTTCAAGTGTTACCCACACTTGTACATACCATTTTCTTAGTTTGCACCTGGTGTAGCTAGAAGAGACCAGCTCTTGGCATCACTCAGGCTGACAAGTGATGGCAGGATAAAAATGTTTGAGGGCAAAAAAAATAACTTTTGAAAATAAATTCCACAGAAAACTGTGCAATAAAATATCACAGAAAACTGTGCAATAAAATATCACAGAAAACTGTGCAATACCTTTCTTTATGTAATTTAATTATCTTCATTCAACTTTCTCTTTCTTAGACAAGCTCCCCTCAAAGCCTTGTGGCCTGTTGTAATTTGAAATTCAGGCTCACAAAGACAATGAGAATGCATCATGAAGGAGAAATCAATTGATGAGATGTTGGATGGAATTTTTTGTTGAGATACCTATGTTGTGCAGTCTATTTATTTCCATAGTTACAGCTGTTGGTGTGATTCTTCTTGATTTCATTTCTCACATGTCACAATCTGTGACATTCATTTTTTCCTTATTTCTTATACTCAATTCAACAGTGCTGGGAAGGATTCCTTTTTCCTCATCCTTTCCAACACTATTATCTCCAGTCACCTGATTTCATCTCAACAATTTTGAGATGTGGTTGATGTGGATACTGTAGGTTTGAGGGTAAATTAAATAATTTCACAAAAGTGTTGAATGAATGTTTCAGTAAAAGCATACATTAAATTGGTTGGCATTAAAATTGAAATCAATGAAATCTAACACCTTAAAATGTAAAATAATGTTTTTTTTTTTTTCATTTTTTGTGAACTTTGATGTATGTGTGGGTGGTAAAAACACAGAAATCTAGACCCAAATGTTCTGCTCAATGTCTGTGCAGATAAAAACACTTTGTATTGCATAACTATTGTATGCTAGTAGTGGATGACTTTCCATCAGCAGTTACAGCCCTTGAAGAATTTGATTTACACCACAAAGATCTTATTTTTTGGCAAAACATATTTCTTCAGAAGCCTTGTAGTGAAGGCCCTCATGTGGGCCAGTTGTGTTTTTGATTAGAATGTTAATTCAGAACTCAGAGGGGTTAAAAAACACTCTAAATTATGATGGGCAGTGGAGGACTTCCCGTGGGATCTGGGACCCTCGCAGTTTCCGATTTAGACCCAAAAAGTCTAGATTTCCCTGCAAAAATCTAGACTTTTTGGGTCTAAATCGGAAACTGCGAGGCTCCCAGATCCGACGGGAAGTCCTCCAGTATATGTAATATGGTTCCACTAATTCTCATCTACCAGATTTTAACACATTGCTCTCAACCCATTGTCAGTTGTGAGCACTCAGCATTCACTCTATGTATCTCTTATTCTTTGGGAACTTAGGTAGATCCACCCCAAGCTATGTTCTGAGCTTCACATGGAGGGGCTGCAGCGTCTATCTAACAGGGTTTTCCGTGCGCAGAGTTTTCCTCTGTACGCAGAGCAAGCCCCGATATAAAGTATGTATGTCCATTACAACAATTTCAAATATAGCATTAGTGTGAGAATATGAAGAACATCCGGCTCTCTATTTAATGCGCTAGCAACACAACAGATTCTTTATAATTTAACACCGGGAGATGGAATGACAAATTTATTTTGGAATTTTATTTACTAGTGGTGATGAGAATCTGGAACCTCGGAAAGCTGAATGGATCTCAATTCCAATCGGCTGCATTCAGGATCGACCGAGACAAGGGAAGCTGTGGACAGTTGTACCGTTGATGGGGGGTAGTTGCTTTGAATATGTAAGCAGTCTACATCGTCGGTATCGGGATTGGCATACCACCAGAACAACCTTTGGTAAAATGCAGGTAATTGGAATTTTGTCGAGTTTTGGGAAGACGTTTCCGCGGTATGCTTGTCCATTAGACAACTCCATCCAGCCTTATTGATGCGCCCCATCTCCATTCCATCTGTAAGGCCCTTCTGTTGACGAGCGGCCCTTTCTGGGGGATCGTGGATGGGAGCATGCGATATCAAGCCTTTCCACTGCGAATTCATGTCCCTTGTCAACTTCTACTTCGAGCTCGATTTGTGGAAGAGGAAGGCGCGTAGGCTTACACACTGGATAAGAAGTACAGGCGACATAAACACGCTAGGTATCATTGCAGAAATCAAGGAGAATTCCAACATAAATACGCTATGATAAATCAAGATTCAGCTCCATGACCTTGCAGAGCAAATCGGGAAATCGGGCCAGGTGTGAACTTACGATAAATGCTCCGTCTTGAGTGACCAATAGCGGCAAGCGCAGATAGAAACCTCTGCTAACAACACCATCATGATGGAGAAGCTAGAGAACATCAAGAGTCCTTTCAAGATGTGATTCATGCAATTAGGATTCGTCAGTTGTCAATTTGCGCTACTGCCTAGCTGGAAGATGCAGAGAAATTGGAGGCAAAGAGTCAAACTAACGTAATTCCTGTCGTAACGCATGAAGGGGGGCTAGTGATTTTTCGACAATCTTCAGTTTTTCATTGTGTAAGGCTTGGTCGCACGTCTGGCTTAAAAACCTAAAATGTTCTGCTTCACATAATCTTAAAACCTTTCGGATCTTTCGCACCAGTAATTGTAATATGAAGATATAAAACTGCCCAGAATTTTCTACTTAATACCACAAATGATTGGACATTTTGGGTGCAGTAATAAGAACGTACAAGCACCAGTACGATCCCAAAAGCCATCCAACCCGTTACCCATCCTGTCAGGACTTTTTTCTGTGCCGCCAACTCGGCGTGGAAGTTCTGGATTTCATCTTGCATTTCCGATGCCAAAGTTTGGATTTCTGGGTCAGCCCGGAGGCCGGACCTTTGCATCATCATTTCATGAAGATTGCGTAGGTCAAGGCCGAGTTCACTTGACATTAGACTGAACTTATTGCAAGCATAAGCAGCCAAAACGATCGCCAGGAAACATCCAGATATCCACGTAATGTTGTAAGCCCAAGGCGGGGGAAAGCGAGCATTTGTATTACTGGAGCCGTGACGCCGGCCTTGACTAGAACAGCAACCACGTCATGAATATTCAGGCAACAATTCCTTGCCACGCGTTCATATTCTTCGACGAAAAACTGACCAAGTGTGAAGCAAGCTCCATCCTGTCAACCAAATAGACAGCCACGATCTGCATGATTTGTCGATGATGTGCGTGAAATGTCAGTCTGGTGATGAGCCGCTTGATCGGAAGATTGATGATTTACTTACGGGAGGCCTCTGAGCCGGGTCATAAAAAATTATCAAAACAGTAAGCCTAAAGATAAAATCAGATGTACAACTCGAAACAAGTGAACAAACCCGATTGCATCCCTAAAAATAGAAATAGACAGGTACCATGTGATTAGAAGTGAATTTCCCAAATTTAGGCGTCTGTCCGCAAATAGAGAAGATTACATGAAATTCATGTGATTAATAAAGATAAAAAGTTCCCACCAAATTACAGCTTTGGTCAGTGTGACCTGCGGATGATTCGTGGCCTGAGATGACAAGCATATTCGTCTCCATCAATGACAAAATTCCTCCACATTTCTAAATTCTTGTCGTTTGACATGTCTTACAAGGTAATTTAAGCATATGTGAAAGAAAAACATGGTTGATCCCACCAGCTCGAGCAATGCTACGACCAAAGACCTATTGGGTACCAGGACTGGTATGCTACCTGTCCATTGGAAAATGCCGCCCAGTAACTTGAAATTAACGAAAGCTTCAATCACGAAACGCGAAAGGTCTGACTCACTCGAATCAACATGAGTACGCCGGATTAGCCATAAGTGCTTTCTTGAACCCACTCCATTTAGGTAGATCGGTATGATGATTACGCCAAGACAGATGAATATCATGAAAGCTTTGAAGATAGCAAAAGCTAATAGACAATAATACACCCATGAACTTGGCTTAGGATTAATCAGGCCGTCCTGGATGAATTATGGCAGAATATATATAAGCTCATATAAGGATCAGTTCAGTACATTGATTGAGTGGAGTCAAGACATGGTTACAAATAATCAGTCTAGAGACTGGCACTTACGATGTGATGGATCTCATCCAAGCCTGCGTTGATATCCATGTGGCATGGAGAATTTAGCGTTGGGGCACAAAAGACAATCTAAAGAGCTGGTTCGGGGAGTAGAGTGTCAAAGCTAACTCAAGCCGATTGGTGAATACTCCTGCTCTCAAAGCTCCATGAACCACTATCAGAGGGTTTACAGTGCTAAAAAGAGTTTTCCACGGCACCGATAACAAATTCCTTGCGTCCGTGTATGCAGCTGTCCGTGCAATTTGTCACTGTTTGTCATCAGGTGTATGGAATTCTTGCACACGGCTCATTTGAAATTGGACACTCAATTTCGAGACTTCGTCATATCTAAAGATTAAGTCACATTTGATATCGTGTTCCGCAAGAGATCGGCGAAAAGGAAAGGTTCGGCAGGGTTCGGCAGCCGACACTGCAGCCGAACTTCGGCTGCAGTGTTCCGCAGAAGAGAAAATTTGCGATGAGGACATTTTGATTTGACAGGCTTTGATTTTGATAAAGGTATGCATAATGCAAAAATACATACAGTAAAAACCTTCTAAGGGCATACCCCTTGGTCACAAGATTTTGCCATGCCCTTAGGGGGTTTATGCATTTATAGGAAGCATATTTGCAGTCAAAGAAATAATGGGCCTGTGCTGCATAGATAATATGCCACCAGTTAACCCCACAACAGCCTACAATAACTTCTCTTGCTCTCCCCAAAAATGGAAGAAGTACTTCAGTAGATTCATGACAATGATGATCTCCTGGTGCCACCTCAACTGATCAAAAACAGGTTGATCTGTCTCAGACATTTTTGTGAAACTGTCCTTGCCCGTTATTCCAACAAGTATCTACAAAAGCTAAACAAAGCTAAGGCTGTGAGGATTTTACCATTAAATTCTACGCATATTATAACCTAGGAAATAAATTTAAAATTTTGAAAAAACTCAAAAAATAAGCGGTAAAAAATTAAGTAAAAAACCGCGTGTGCTACGCGCAGCACGAACCGCGTGTAAACACAGAAATACCACATGTTTTTATTAACGCCCTTTTTAAAACCACTTGCCAACTGCTCAACAAAAAAAAATTGAAAAGCAAAAAGAAATATGATTTTTTGCATAATTTTTGGAGGGTGACACGGTCACAGGCTGCAATCAGCAAAGAAAAAAAAAATGAAGACTTGCAGGCTGTGAGGACTTCAAAATCAGTGCTTATGCAGTTCTATGCATCTGAAATTTCCCGAAGGAACTTTTGTTTTGCACTATAGGGGTCATTTATGGCAGGGATATCCGCGGATACACACCAGCGGATGCAGATGTCTCATTCTGCTGAAATTGCCAGCGGATATCCGCATCCGCGCAGATATCCGGATGTGTAGGGGCCATCTCTAGAACAAATTACTGGATTTCAGTGGACTAGACTAAGTTTCAAATATAATGGATAAAGAATGACAAGCTTGTGGTTATAATAATGAATAAAAGATTAATTAATAGAACCAAAGGCAATAGTGGAGAAGAAGCAGGATGGTATGATCACAGAAACCAAAAAAGATCTATATCCAAGAATATAAGACAATAAGCCCTCCTTATTCAGGGTTCTAAGACTACAATATAGGGGTGCAGATATCATAACAGAATGCAATGACAGACTAAAATTAAGAAGAATTCAAGAATGATTATAGAATAGATCCTAATTACCAGACAAGACTTAAGATTGAGGCAAAAGTAATAAAGTAGAAGAGATGATAAATGGAAAGGAATGTTCATGGAGTCAACATTACAACAGGAAGAATGTTAATATCTTTTTAAACATGAAGGTGGTGTTTATCGTCCACAGCCTGAATATTGAGGACAAATCAGGAACTGAGTTTGAAAGTTATTTCAATTACTGAATACTTACCAAATAACCTGGTGATTCCATTCTTGAATCAGAGGAACACGCATTTCTACAACAGAATCTCAGTGAGAAATTATGGAATAAGCTTGGCTTGGAGGATCTTCATACCAAGCACTAAAAACATCACATTTCTTTTTCCATTGGACTCACTCCCAGCAATAAAGACATGTTTTTTTTCAATTAAAGTCCAGTTTCTATTGCAACCCAAAAGAGAAAAAAAATTGTTCCATCAATTCTAACTAGTAACAAAATCAAAATTAAATATGATTTATAATTCCTTGTGTTTTTTGCTGGTATTAGGGGGTATCAAATATAAACCAATGCACCATTGTTTAATTGACTGGTTTTAAAAAAGAGCTTTATTAAAAAACACGGTTTTTCCGCGTTTACACACGGTTTTGCTGCGGCACAGCACACGCGGTTTCCGCGTTTAAACACAGTTTTGTATTTAATTTTTTATGGGTTATTTTTCAAGTTTTTTTGAATTTTCAAAGTTGTTTCCTACACTTTAAAAGATGTAGAATTTAATGGTAAAAACCATTTTCCATAAAAATGAATTTTGATTATTAATTATTTTTTTCACTCATTTCTCAATTAATTGTTTGCATACATGTATGTACCTTATTTTTTATGTTTTTTGAAAGTTTAAATTTAGTTCCTAGGTTTTAATGTGCGTAGAGTTTAATGGTGCAATCCAATTTCTTCAAAACTCAACGGTTCAATTTTAATACTCAAATTACACACTTTTTTCACTTCATTTTTTACAGCTTAATTTTCATTATTTTTTGACATTTCAAATTTATTTCCCACAATTTAAGACATGGTTACTAGCATTCTAACCTCAGATAATCTCAATGAAAATCTGTCCATGTTATTTTTAGGTATTGAGGGTGAAAATCTACTCTGTGATATTACTTGTAAGCCACAAACCCTGTTTTTGTTTAGATTAAGGTTGCATGTTATCTCATAGTGGCAGGTTTTTTTGTTACAAAAATTGTTTCAGATAATGAAACATATTTAACTTTCCATTGTTGTACATGGAAAATTTAAATTTTCAGTCTTTCAGGGGTCAAATTCCCCTCCAAGATCTAGATCTAAAGATCTAGATCTATCTTCCTGATTTATAACTTTAATCTCAGAGGCAATGGGGAAGCTGTGTTGAATTTGGACCAATAAATATGGATGTAATGTCAAATTATTGTACAGTAACAAAGAATCACCTCTTGACAAGTATTTTTTCCTATCAAACTCTTGGTAGGTCAATATGAATGACTTTGGGTGCTCAAATCCAGCCCTTGTGTAACCAAAGAAGTCAAATTCAACAGTTCCAGGTAGGGGTAGCCTTCAGATAGTCTTCATAGATTGATTGTTGGAAAGGGGATAGGCTTGAATAAGCTTATATTTTAGAATTGATTTTGACTCAAACAGGGTTTTCTTTTATAAATAAAGAGATAGTAAGTGGCCATGTTGATTCACTGGAACCTACTCAACTTGAACACACTGCACAGGATGGAGAAAATTGTCATATTTTACAGAAAGGAGAATATTTACATTGATTGAACTTGAGGAAATTAAAAATATTCCAGCATAGAGGACCACAGCTGATTCAATCAGATGTACTCCAAGACTAAGTTTGATATTGTAGTTTTAGCAAAAAATGAAAAAAAAACTTTATACAAATGAGATTGAATTGATTTCCACCATATTACTAAACTACTGAGATGATAGCCTAATAGATAATAGGTTTCAGTTGTTTTGAGATAGGAAGGATACTCAAATTATTCATCAGTGACAGCCTCCACCTGCATTTCACAACCTTTTCCTATTAGTACTGAGCCAATTTACATCTCAAGTGGTTTTATTTCAAAATGATATGTCCACTCAAAGGATCTTCTAGTGACCACTCAATCTACTTCCAGAAGTGGATAAAGTGAAAGACAAAAAGCAAAATAAGTGTTGGGCTTTGAGGTGTGAACAATTCACCAAAAAGAATCTCAAGTTCAAAATCTTCACATACCTGGGCAGGACAGACGATTGAATCTTATTAATTGTCATATTTAGACGTTAATTAACGGCCTGATCTTCTGGAGATTCATGCCTTTGGTCTCTCTTTTGTACTGTAGACGACGCATAGCTGTATTGAAAGTCCAAGTCTCTTTTAAATTTCTTGGAGCAGGACAGGAGACCACAAGCTAGATTAAACACCTTCATCAGTTTATCAAAAACCCTTTCATAGATTTTGACAATCTCTGTTTCCCCATTTAAAGCTACCTGAACATCTCTAGGATTCAAATTGGACTCACGATTTGTGATGGCGAAGTCAGCTACATCAGCAGCCTGCTTCGCCAAGAATGCGGCAAACTCCTCCTCGGTGTACATTAAACCGCAATCCTTGGATTGAAGTCCATCGTCTTTATAGTTCGTTTTTGAATACGAAAGAGTTTTAGTTGATTAATCGTTCTGCAATACGGCCAAAATCGTGCTCATAGGCTTACCAACAAAAACGCATCTTTTCTTCATAGGGATTTCCTTTGAAAGAACTAGTGGAAATAGGATTAGGATAAAACCAAGCTTCACTTGATTCAGAATTCAATTAAAATGGGAAAAATTTGAATCAGTCCGGAAAGCAAATCAGCTCGAACCCAAGATGCTGGGTAGAAATAACTTCGAGGAAACGTCATCAAGAAACCTACTTGTGTGCTGGAGGCTTGAAATTCAAAAATGACTTGAGCTTCGACGAAACCTTCCGATTGAAAGCGGATGATGCGATAACGAGGTGGATGAACGTGATAAATTTGTCAAGAGATCGAAACCGTTTGTGATACTGATTCACGTTTACTAGCTTCAAGCTAGGAGTACAGTAGGGTATGTTGATGGAAGAGGATGCAGAAACAGGCCTACCTTGGGATTATTAATTGGAGTTGTCGGTGCTCACTGCTTTGCTTGCAAAATTTCCAGCTGGATAACGCTAACAATCGCACTGGACACCGCTCCAGACAATTCTTTTTTAGCATTTGTAGCAACACCGATATCAAATTTAATTACCTAGCCTTGTCTCGAACAGAATCCTGGCTACTGCAAAGTGGTTCTGATGATTTCACAACGACTCTTCGTCCCGACTCGGTTGTCAGATGACTGAGTAGAATTTGGGTGAGTTGCCTCCATTTGAGAGGTCTGTCGTGCTATGAAAGCTACGCGAGTTGGTGACCAGCGACCATTTACTGTTTGATTGTTTACTGTTGATGTGTTGCCACTGGTTGGTCTCCATGGAACCTAGTGATTCGCCTGTTGCTAGACCTGTGTCAGTCAACTTGGCCGCCGCAGATGGGTAGTACTAGATTTGTCGGTTGGTGAAGATATGTAGCTAACCCTGGTTAACTGAGCACATCGGCTTGCCCTGCTCGATCACAAACCCGGCTTGGAGCAACTCCATCTGAGCCCTACACGAGTCCCTCCTCCGACTGTGAGTCCGACCTCCTATGAGTTGTTCGCAATCGAACAACTCGGTGTAGGAGGTTTCTGTGTCAGAGTGTTTTTGGCTTGCTCTTCACGCATCCCTCCATTTTGTGGAGAAGGCGTACTCATTAACTGGTTGGAGTTTTCTCTTCTTTTGTAGCTTGTGTGTATGATTTGGTTTGTCTATCTCTAGATCTCGTTAGTTATAAAAAGAGGACGCATGCAGCCTTTGTAGCTTGATTGGTCGCGTTTCTTGTTGAGATTGATAGCAATACAAATCCAGAACAGTTTCAATTTCTTGGTGATTTCGCAATCTCAATGACGAGAATAAATAAATAAATATAAACACTTGGATAAACATAAAGGGGCAGAAAATGACAATTTTTCCAAGAAGATAGAAAAATGTTGAAATCTACGGTGAAGACAAATAATGTATCATCCTCACGATAAATAGGTTGATTGGCTGGAAAGGTGTTGGTGGTACATTCTTTTAATCTTGCAGAACCTATGACAATACATTAGATGCCATGAAAAGGTAAGAGGAAAAAAGGGGGGGGTCAAAAAAATGAAGATGACGATGAGACAAAGCAGAATCTCTTCATAAAATTTGTATCAACTCTTCAAAGGAGTGCAATGGTTCTAAAGAATCTCTACTAATTTTGATCAGACGATGTTTCAACCAACATACAGCTCAAGGATTGCAGTGGATAAATGTTCACATTGAAAAGAAATCAAACCAAAAAAAACCAACTACAAACAGAAAGAACAAACGGTATTCTTGAAAGCTGAAATCGCGGAAGATAGATTGATTTAAATACTTGATTAAATTGTACAAAGACCAAAAGATTGGGAAGCGTCTAAAAAGATTTCTCTAAAGAGCAACAGTAAAAAAAACAATCCTCTCTATATGTGTATCTGATTTCCCTAGTGGTTTAAGAGTGTTCACAAGTGAAACATCAACAGTTGATTATAATAGCAAACATCAAGAACGGATAAAAAAAAACAGAGTCCATTCCACCATTATCATCAACTTGAACCATTGACAGATGAGAATTGGAAGATAAATAAATAACGAGGTGGATATTAATGGGCCTGACTGCAATGCGATTTCTGGTGAGTTTCGGAAAACAACAGATGGATGGATGATGTTTCGATGGCGGAGACCTGGATGTGGATTAATCGATTATCGTTGTACAATCAGCTCCGAATCATATGGATATGGTCGATTATGTAGAGAGTTGGACAACCCATTTTTGAACACGTACCGCAAACAAGAAACAAACCAAGCTCTAGGTTGACAAGAAATAATAAAAAACGAATACAATGGATTGGATAACAATAGTTTGGATAACGATAATTATGTACAATCATAAGATTCACAATCAACCTTTGACCGATCTTTCGAAGCAAGCATATAAAACAGAGTCCGCCTATATAGTCTAAATATGTATTTTAAAATTTCTTGGATTGGCGGGCGGGTTTGGGAGCCTGTACGGAAGCGACTCGGGACATCAGTTCGTCGATCTCTGTGTGCGAGATATCATGGTGGTCGTGGTGAAGGTTAGGGGCGGAGGGGACACCGACGGGGTTGTAGGAGAGAATGGGCGGGCCGACCCTGACGCCTTTGTCGAACATGGCGCTGAGCTTTCTCTTCCGTTGTTGTCGACGCCGCCGGACGATCGCAAGGACGATAGGGATGCTTACTATAAGGAGGATGATTGCCAGGACGATCCCGGCGACCGCTCCCTTGCTCAATCCTCCCTGTTTCTCTTCATGGCCAAAGTGCGGCACCGAGGGCGGAAGCTGAGTGGAATTGGCGGCGATGGAGGTGGAGCTGGCAAGCTGGCTCATCTTGCCAGCTTCGGCCGTCTTCTCGGGGGCAGTGCTAGTCGTTCCATTGGACGCATATGCCCGAAAACTCGCCAGAGCTTTCTCTTGCCTTTGTTTGGCTCGACAGCCCTTGTCACCGCTGGACTGGCTGCCGTTCTTCGGGGCTGCTGGAGAAGAAACGTCGCCGACTGGAGGCTGATTCGAAGCCATCATCGACTTGGGTGGATGGAGCCCCTGGGTGCCATGGCTCGTGTAGTGCGCCCGGGCTACGTCCACCTCCGAAGGATTCGTGTTGATACTGGTTTGCTTGCTGGTTGGCTGCCCTTGAGAAGCGAATTGCTTTTGCTTATCCCCTCCCTTTGCAGGATCATCATGTAACTGTTCCGCAAAGAACGTCTGGTTGGCGCGCAATGATACGCTGCCTTGCAGATCAGAGTGAATATCCGTCGACTTGATGTGGGCGGGGTGTGCATGGCCGGGGAGTAGAACATTCTCATCAGTTCCTAACGGTCCTTGGAGAGGATCGGGCTGTTTCACTTCGGAACGTTTGCGCCTGCGACGCCGGTTTATTTCTGGTTTTATTTCAAGCAAAAGTAAATGGTGTTTGCCACATGATTAGGTGTGAATCTAGCGTTGTTCTTGAATCTGCACGACATTTTGGAATCCAGATACGATGATAATAAGATTCACTTACCTAGCTGCGCTAAGATTTCCTCTTGCTGCTCCTTCAGAGCTTTGAGCTCGAGTAAGACTTGTGATTGGCTCAGTTGAATTTTCATCGATGCTCGGAAGATGGTGAAGGTGTCTGAACCAGTTCAGCTACCGAGCTGGTCGTCCACCTCGTTTTCTATTTCTATTTTCTAGTTCTTTGAATATACTTCCTGTCTTGTTTCAATAATATTCTTCAAAGGATATAAATCTTGCAGGGCGGTAAGCTGAGTTTGTTATGCTGAAAATCGAAGATTATGTATGTTTCTTTCTGATGGAAGCGCTGCTAGTAGTCATAAGACATTTATTTCTAGGCATCAAGCCAAAATGAATCGCGGCATTTGATGGACAGAGCAAAATAAAAAAACAGTCCGCTGGAGTCTTGATCAAGAAAAAAAAAATGTACGAAGAAAGATAGGTTGAGAGTTGAGAATATTATAACAGAGAGGGTCTGGTTGAGGCGGCCGGACCTACGTAAGCTTATTAAGTTATTTCCTCCACAACAGCTCACCAAGTGTCTGTTACCCCTTGCTGACCACTTTATGACTTACGTTCAAGGAGAGCTTCGGCCGGTTTCCTTGGGATATAATTTGAAAGCTCGACAACCGCGTTGAAGCACTGGTTCTTGATATCCAGACCTCCCGGTTGCTCGGTCGATTGATGCTTCGTTACATTGCGGAGCTGGACAGGGCAGTGCCGAATCGGCATGTAGACAACCGGTCTCCACTCGCCAATCGCTCTGTTCCCTTCCCCTTTGACTGTTTCTACTTCTTTGTCAAGTGATATCGCTGACTCGATCACGATAACCACCAGGCCCATTGAACGACAACTGCGAGGACATATTCAAGTCAGATTGACAACAATAGTATTCATTCATTGATCTAAACAGTAGCTATGGTTTTCAGCAGAGCTGATAGAAACAGGTGGGTCAGGGTAGGACTAGGGGAGATAGTAAGGTAAAAACTCGCAGCTTGTACTACAAATTCCTTTCTCTCCTCGCCGAGCCCGGTCGAGCATGGAGAGTGGCAAATTGTGCGCCGAGCCGCAATGCAATGCTTGACTCTGTGAATGACTGAACTCAGGAAGAGACTAGCTTAACTCAAGGCCTTCCCTTCGGAGGCCATCGGTGTCGGAGGCTCGCTTGGCTCGCTTCGCGAATTTGACACACCTCCTCAAAATCAGACCTTTGATCGAGGGGCTTGTGTCAAGAAGACGAAAGTTCTCCGGAAGACGAGGTTCCAAGACCATCAAACATCCATCAGCCGCATCACATCTCCATCCACTCTCACCGGGAGCCGGGCCGTCCTCTCGAGACGCTGCCTCGAAAAATACGTCGGAAAACCCGCTCCAAGACGACGGCAGGCCTGTGGATAAGTTTCTTCATCTCGCGCCACCCGTGTATGCCATACATAGACTACATATGTACTCTGGGCCAGCCAGATCTTAATCAACGCCATGGGGCCGGCTGCCTTCCGCCGGATCCAACGGATCTCCGCGAAACATGGCCAGACAGATACAATACATACCAATAACAATTCAACTTAGATTATCATGATTATCTATCAGATGAAACAAAATAAAGGGAACTTGAGCAAAATACATCAAATTTGTTTAATTTTTGGGTGTTTGAAATTGTCAAAGACAGATGAATGTGGATTGTTTATTGATTGACGGTCTGGATCTTTTTCAAGTCACATACTGTATGCGTAAGAAACTAAGAAGCAAAGAAGAAGACACAGGGTGGATGGATGGATGGATGAAGTGACCGAGCCAACAACATCGACAACAAGAGTTTATAAGACAAACAATCAAAACAAAAAAAAATTAGAGCGTATGAGCCAGTCAATTAAACGTAAAGGGGAACAAAAACGGGTAATTGAAGGTGGGAGGACAACGAATATATATTCATATATATATATATATGTATAGATCTCAACTGAAGAGCGGGGAGGGAAAGGCAGCAATCTCAGAGGTAACAGTAAAAGGCGGGAGAGGGTGGGTTGGTTTTTGATAAGAAGAAGAAAAAAAAAAGATAATAACTTCTACTGATGATATACGTAAAGGAGAAAGGGTCGATGGGAATATCGTTCTCAAAAAACAACAAAGACAATTGACAATTGACAAACAAACAAACAAAAAAACGAAGAAAGTATGTGAAAGGTAAACATTACAGACAGGCGAGTAACAAGGTAAAGAATGAAGAAAATGAATGAAAGAAGAGGTAAGAAAAGCTTAGGAAACAAGTGAGAGACGAGAAATCAGCAAGAAAGAATGCACTATAGGGTCTATCAAATAGGTGGACTGGGAAGATTTTTGTAAGGCTTCTCGAGAGCTTCTTTTTTTTTTAATGTTTTGTTTCTTTCTCTGTTTTCTTTTCTTTCTTTTTCTTCTTCTTCTTCTTGTTCTGCTATAGATGAAAATGAAAGGGGGAGGGGGAAATGATATGAACAGTTTGAAAAATGAATAAATAAAAGGAACGGGGGGAGAGTGAGGGGAGGGGTGGGAAAAAGGGTGTTAGATAGTGAGATGTGTAAGAATGACCTAAATAAAATGTTTCATCAAAGAGGAAGAGGAAAGAAAAAGATAAGAAAAAAAGACGCGGGAGGTCGAAAAGAAAGTATTCCATTAAATACATAAGCGATGCCTTTGGTCATCTCAAGTTCTACAGTAGACCGCATTCTCTCAAGTTGAGTTGAATGATCTGCAGATTTGGAACGGACATGAATTGCATCAGAATTAATCTACCTCGAAAGATATTTTGGGAAGTGTCTGCAAATCTACTCACGATATCATTAACAGCAGACAGAACAAAACGGATCTGGGATGTGTCTGTTGCACATGTCAAATGTACGTAAACCTGTTTTTTTTTTTTGATGGCGGGATGGTCGTCAAAAGTGTCAATACATTACAGATAAGTGAAAAAAATGAACGGATAAAGGAGAATATGTACGTACCTGCTTTGAGGGACTCTGATTGACGCTGACAAACTTATTGCCAAAGAAGTCAGCACCGGCCTGCCAGAGCTCTTGATCCGGGTTCGAAGGGGGATGGAAGTTTGGAAAGAAATTCTGGATGGGCGAGTATCGGACTTTCTGCTTGAAGAGATCGATCTTGTTGAGGAAGAGGATGATCGAGGTTTTGATGAACCATCTCGAATTGCAGATCGAATCAAATAGGTTCAGAGCCTCCTGCATCCTGTTCTAAAACATGGATACGGACCAAATTTTAGTAAGATCTGGCTCTTGAAGGAAGCGAAAGGAAACCAAGAGAAAGCTTACCACTGAGTCGTCTTCATAGAGCATCTGATCATATTCGCTAAGCGCCACCAGAAACACGATAGCTGTCACGTTTTCAAAGCAATGGATCCACTTTTTCCTCTCGCTTCTCTGTCCTCCGACGTCAAACATCCGATACTTGAGCTCCCCGATCACAAAGACGGTTTCCGTAATCCCCGTGGTTTTGACACGCGAGCGCAGTACATCCTGATCGTCTGGTACGTAATTACGCTGTCCGATTCGGTCGATCGAGTCAAAATAATACGCCGCAGAGTCGTTTAACCTGAAACCGGTGTATGTGATGTAAGCATCTGGATCGTCTTCCGAGGTAGAAAAAAAAAAAAAAAAAAGATGGTAAAAAATGGGTGACGGCTTAACTGGTACTCCCGACTGCGCTCAAAACATTTCCGCACTCCAGGGTCTTGCCAAAGTTGACGGATAGCTGTGACGACATGGGGATCGAGATAGGTCTTGTCCAACTGGCTGGGTAAGGATTGGATCATCTGTCCGACAGGAATCAAGGATGGGTCCTTGAGTTCGATCTGCATGAGCTGCATGGCATCGAGTATGACATGCATGGACTGAATGGTGTTTGAGAAGATAATTTCCTTGTAGGAGTCGCGTTCATCGTTCGTATAAGACCCTGTTTTGTTTTGTTTTGTTTTCAAAAAAGATGAGCGTCAACACGTGCATATACAAGCCGGTCGAAGGTAACAAGCTGGAAAAAGAAGGCAGTGAATTTGGAGGGCAGGCTTACCTTCGTGAATAAGTTTCATTTGCTTTAGGATTGTTGATTTACCAGATTCCCCGGCTCCCAACAGTAACATTTTGATTTCATTTCTGCAAGGGAAAAGAAGAAAACAAAGGAGTGAGTGAGTGAGGAGAGAATGTGGTTTCAGGATCTATGTAGATCAGAGGGGAGGTTCAGGGATGAGAAGAGAAGATTTGATTTGATTTTTTTGAATTATGTAGATGAGAGTGAGATTGATAAGTACCTAAGCGAGATCTTATCCCTTTTGATTTGACTTTCGATTTGGGCGTTAACCTGTTGAGCCTCAGAGATCTCCTTGGAACCTGAACAGCCCATCTTGAAATTAGCTGTATTGATTCGGGGGTAGAGTGGGTCGTCGGTGTGGGGTAATCAGAGGGAGAGGGAAAGAATAGGAAGAAAAGGAAAAAAAGAGATGAGAAGGTGAAGAAGGACAATGAGGAGGGTGAAGTAATTGACCGATGGGTTGGGGGAGGTTGTGAGTGAGGGTGAGTGAGATCTCAGATGATGCTGGGTGCCTCCAAACCGCTAATCACGGGTGAGTATGCGGAGGGGGGTCTGATGATAAATGATTGGTAATGTATTTTTTATGTACAAAATCAGTTTTGGATTTATCTTTTCCTGGAAAAAAAAAGGGGGGGGGGATTTATTTATGTAATGTATGGATGTATGTGTATATGTGATAGCAGTCTTAGGTAATCAAACACTACACCTGTTACAAGGACATGAAATTGAAAGCCCAGTAAAGAGGAATTTAAAATGGAAAAAGGGAGCTACATTATTGAAAAGCAGCCAAAGTAATTTGCAGTGATGCTGTATTTTATTTATGTATGTGGGTTGGTACAAACATTAAAGAGCGGGGATGTCGGGTGTGGTTAATGAGGGAGAATTGTTGGGTGCTTGCATGGATAGAATGTACGATTTGACTGGGTCGAGAAAAGGTTTTCCCGAGATGATGATGATGATGAGAAGACAGAGTTGTTGGATTTTTTTTATTTTGCAGTCGGACCTCGGAAGAGGGACGATTTACTCGATCGGTCGTGTGCTGCTTGCTGGCAAGTTGCTGATTCCTGATGACCGTTCCAATGTGGTTTGGAGCTTCATTCATTCAAGCATTTTCTTTCTTTCTCTTCATTCTCAACCTCGACGGCGCTGCAGTCTCTTTCGAGAGCTCTTCGATGGCAACACTGCCATCAAGCCATCGACTCTGCCGGGTCGATCGGTCCGGCCGGTCTCGCAAGGCCTCGCACCCAAGCTCTGCCGCTCAGCCGGTCAAGGCTCTTCGCCCGCCCACCACACCACACCCAGCCTGGCACTCTTGGTGGTCCTCTGCGGACATACGGACACGTGCGAGAGACACGTGTCGTGGAAAGGCTAACTAACCAAACCTGACCAAACGCCTTACATACACACTGGCCCTTACTTATTATGACTGGTTGACGTACGATTAACTTCCATCAACGGCCACCTGAATCGTGATCGGGATATTTACATCCAACCTTCCGAGCTGGTCTGGCCGTTGCAAGGACAACGGCTCGAAATCTGTCGGTACAGCCGAAAAAAACAAAGGCAAGCAACATCCTCTGTGAGTCCCTCAAAGGCGAATTCTCGTTGCAAATGGGAATAAATCAGGATGCGATCATCCTATTCAATCTGATCGACAACGCTTGTCGGGGACTGCAGAGGATGATGAGAGGATCCCACACTGGCATTACAGAGAGAATCATTCCCAGCCTATCCTTTAGCCCCAGACGCATCTGTCAAAATCTGCTCTTGGCATCAACAATTGTCTCAAGAAAATCACTGAAGGCTGCCAACTGAGGACCCTGGAAACACCGTCCTTCCCTTCCAAAATGAGTCCGGGCCCATCGGGACAGAGCTTGCACGCTCATGGTGTCCCCGGGCACTTGGATTGTTGATTGGTGTATCTCAATTATCTCCACTTGTGAAGCTTAGAGTGTTAGACTCTGTTCGACTCTACCTCTAGTGCTCAGGAGCAAGAACAGAAATCCATCAGATGCTCAATTGGATCCTGTGATAGCCATAAGAAAAAAAAAGCCCAGCTACATAGTATGTATCATTGCAGAAGTTTGCAACAAGAAATTCAAGCCAAAACTTATCAAAGACTGTGATAAGTGAGGAACTTCTTTTGGGAAGACGAAAAATCACAATAGTTTGAGGGTCTGCAGGGGAGAGACATGTCAGTGAGCTTCCATTCCAAACAAGACAAAACCTGTAAGTTGTAGTGTGTGGTTATTCCACATAGCTTTCTTGTTTTGACAGGACTTTATTGGCCAATGAAACCTTTTTGTTTTGTTGATGATCTGTTCCTTGCAAATCTGTGAAGGGTTGAAAACTATCCAGTTGATGAACTTCCAGACTGAACCTCATCTAGAACTCAAACATATCACTTGCTCAGAAGATTGTTGGTCCTCTCAGTGGACACTCAATCCTTATCTCTTCAAGCTTCCATACTCAATCATACAATCAAATTGAGATTACACACAGTTTTGGTCAGATTTCTTGGCTCTCAGCCTCTGCTACATCTAGTCAGAGTATACCTTTCTCCCAATGTTCCTCTGTTGAACATGGAATGATTAGAAAAACTCCATTGGCTAGCTTTGGACTTGATATGTTCTTTGCTTGCCTTTTTATTTTTGCCTCAACAACATCTAGAACTACTCCACATTCATCTTTCTTATCTTCCTTTTTTGATCATTACTCCTACCCTCTCAAGCTAACTCCCCCTCCCAGTTTTTTTGTTTTTTTTTTTTTTTGAAAAAAAAAAAGATATTGTGCACTTCATATGTTGATGTTTCTCTGGAATGAGATTATCTTGTTGGAATATGTCCTTTCCCCAACCCTCCTTCCCCCATACCTTCAAAGAGAAACCAGTGAAAAAAAAAACTCAGTGATCAGAATTGGGTTTGAATTATATGGCCCACCCACTCCACATACACACATTTCTCCAATTTGTTTCATCCCCATGATCTATTCTGAAAAAAGTTATTCTCCAAAATTTTGATATTTGATAAATATTCTTCCAACTTATTTTTTCCTCTTTTCATCATCTGATTATCTCAAACATCTCCTGTTCAATATGTCACTTCAAACACATTGAATCCATTCCTTGTCCCTGATGGTCATCTTTCTAGTCAATCAATCTCATCTTGATCTGATCAGAAAAAAAGATCATCTCATCCACTCTCTTCATCTTGAGTTTTTATTTTTATTTTTCTCTCAGTAATGGGCACCAATCAAGTTTCGTTTTGAATTTGCTTTTTCTCAGTTGGTTGGTTATTTCTTATGTCACCTCATTGATTTTTTTATTTGAGAAATTTGTCAATTATTTATGATTTGAAACATTTTGGAGTGTCTGTTGTTTATCAAAATGGTGATCATTTTTTGTTCTAGTCTCTAATGTTTATAGAGTTATTTTGGTCCTGATCTCCTATGTATGTACATTACTTTTTTGAGATTGTTTGTGAGTAGCTAGACTGTCCATGATTGAAGCCTGCCAAGGAACTGTTGATTTTGTTATTGAGTGTTGCTTGCATTGTTTTCTGTGTTTATGTTTGTGTAGCCGCGGAGTGGCTAGTAGAAGACGGAACTTCCAAGTTTCCAAGCGAGAGAGCGGTTTCTCCTTTAATCCTTGCGAACAGAACCCAATTATTTCCAATCATCAACCAAATCCACCAATCGCTCCAGTCCTTCTAGAATGAACCAATCCAACAACAACGAACCCAGCTCGATCACCGTCAAGAAGATTGCTTGCATTGGTGCTGGTCAGTATGATTCGTCCCTTGCAGTTGACTGTCAGATCAGTCCAACTATGTAGCACAAGAATGATAATCCAGTTGACGGTGATCTCATCCCAGGTTACGTCGGCGGACCCACCTGCTCAGTGATCGCCTACAAATGTCCTCAGATCCAAGGTCAGTCACACACACACACTCACACTACATACAGGAGTCGTATTACCACCCCAAAAAAAAGATATTATATGTTGCTGATCGAAATGATGTCATACAGTCACCATCGTCGATGTGAATCCAGATCGAATCAACCAATGGAACTCGGACTCATTGCCGATCTTCGAACCGGGATTGGAAGAGATCATCCTCAAGTGTCGCGGAAAGAACTTGTTCTTCGATACCGATATCGATAAGGCCATCAAGGAAGCCGATCTCATCTTCGTCTCCGTCAATACTCCCACCAAACAATCCGGAATCGGGTCCGGATATGCTGCAGACCTTAGGTAAGACCTTCGGCCATCTTTTTGAAGCCCTACACAAGGATCATTCAGCTAATGAAGAATTGAGCCAAGTTATGTGGAGCTCTGTACCCGTCGAATCGCCACCGTCGCAGCGACCTCGAAGATCGTAGTCGAGAAGTCGACGGTGCCATGTCGGACGGCGGAGTCGATGCGCAAGATCCTCGAATCGAACTCCAAGCCGAACCTGAACATCACCTTCGACATCCTCTCGAACCCGGAATTCCTGGCCGAAGGGACGGCGATCAAGGATCTGCTGAACCCCGACCGGGTCCTGATCGGCTCCTTGGGCACGCCCTCCGGCAAACGCGCCCAGGCCGCCCTCGTCGACGTCTACGCTAATTGGGTGCCCAGGGAGAAATGCGTTACTACTGGGCTTTGGTCTTCCGAACTCACTAAATTGGTCGGCCTCTATTTCTCTTGACTCCTTTTTTTTTTTTTTTACAACAGACAATTAATCATTACTCGATTTAATTTGGCTTATCCAGGCAGCTAATGCATTACTAGCTCAGCGAATCTCCTCGATCAACTCTCTCTCAGCCATCTGCGAAGTCACCGGTGCTGATATCGATGAGGTGGCCTATGCCTGTGGATTGGACGGTCGGATCGGCAATAAGTTCTTGAAGGCCTCCGTCGGCTTTGGCGGCAGCTGTTTCCAAAAGGATATCTTGAATCTCGTCTATCTCTCCGAGTCTCTCCACCTCCAAGATGTGGCTGATTATTGGCGTCAAGTTGCGTACCCCTCCCTTTTAATCCTTATCCTGTCATGCTTCACGGAAAACAAACAAACAAACAGATTGATTCAGTATGTTTATAATTTTTGTACAGGTGATTATCATGAATGAGTCTCAGAAACGTCGCTTTACGACCAAAGTCGTCAAGGAGTTATTCAACACGATCCGGGGCAAAAAGATCACTGTGCTTGGGTTTGCGTTCAAGAAGGATACGGGGGACACTCGATGTTCGGCGTCGATCACGTTGATCAAGCAGTTCAGAGAGGAAGGCGCGCAGATCTCGATCTATGATCCCAAGGTCAAGGAGAACCAATACTGGCTCGATTTGGTTAATCCTCAAGTACCTGGAGATGATCAAGCAGGTAGCTCACCCGTTGTTTTGTTGATATATTCTTCTCGGATGCAGGTAGGTCCTTACTGATCTTGAGCCTGTCCATCCAGCTCGAAAACAGATCACGATTTGTAAGTCTGCAGAGGAAGCGTGCCACGGAGCCTCCGGAATAGTGATCGCCACTGAATGGGATGAAGTGAGTGGGAATGTAATGTATCCTCCAGACCGCTTATCACACAGTCCAATCTCATCCTCGTGTTTATTTTTTTTATGACAGTTCAAGAGCTTGGATTGGAAGAAGATTTATGAGACGGTCGATAAACCGGCGACCATCTTCGACGGCCGTTTGATCTTGGACCAGAAGGCGCTCAAATCGATCGGCTTTAAGGTGTTTGTGATCGGCAAAGGTGAAGAATTAAAATGATTCACATCATACTATATATGTACTCCAAAATATGCATAAATTTTCCTCTTTATTTATACTTTATAATCAGTCGTCTCAGTTTTTTTTTTTTTGTTTGTTTGCAAGAGCTTTTATTTTGTCTTTCTTCGTTCTCAAAAAATAGACTTCGTCCTTTCCTTTTTTCTCTCAAAGTTAGCAGCATCCCTAAAATTGTAGCCATCATTAACTCCATCATCAAATCCATCGCATCCCGCAAATTTCGTGTTGAATGTATGTAGATCAGAGCAAAGCATTAGACATTTTTGTTTTTGTTTCGTTTCTTTTGTATGATTGTGTATATGTACTCGTTTGGTTCATCTTGCAGATTCCTGCAGTCATCATCTTTCCGTTTGCTCTTTTGTAATTAAGGTGCAGTAGCAATGTGTCATCAGATGTGTTTTTTTCTTTCTGAATGTTAATTTCTGAGGTACGTTGTATATCCATCAGACTGTGAGGTGTATGTATTGTGTGTGACTGTCAACTTTCCAGTGAAGTTTGTGTACACCCACCTCTCTCTGAAGCAGCAGCAGCCACCAATTAAGCCCACCATGAACATCAGGAACAAGACCGAACCAACTCAACCACAGCCACTCTACCAACTATCAACTCAGTATCGGTAAGCTCACACTTTGTCCATCACTCCAACTGACCAGTTCCACTCTAGCTCACACTATTCCCTCACAAAAAAAACACAGTCATTGGCGATTCTCTCAGTCAGGACTCGAACAGGCCAGAAGAGAACTCAACGAAGGCGCCGTCGGAAGAGTGAAATCTAAGCTCGAAGAAGAGAGGGTATGTCCACACTCCACCGATCCACTGAAGACCCCCTTGACTCAAACCATCTTCATTATATAGAACGTCGAGCTCCCTTCAGCCGGTGATGAGCCAACCGAACCCAGTCAGATCGAATATCTGACCGTCCAAGATGAACTCGAACTGGTGACCTTCTACCTCTCCAAGATCTCACAGCTCTGTCGGGCTTCGATCTTCAACTTTCCCGAGACCGTCGAGGCGACCGCGATGAGCTACTTGAAACGCTTCTACCTCAGGAACACCTGCATGGATTATCATCCCAAAAATATCATGTCAGAAGAGCACTCCCCAGACTCAGTCTTCACACCCACCTAAGAAAAAACTCACTAAATCATTTCCGCACACACACACAGGCTTACTTGTCTCTTTTTGGCCACCAAGACTGAGAACACCTCGATCTCGATCGACAGCTTTGCCTCCCGGATCCCAAAGACGACCAACGGGGATGTCCTGGCGCTCGAGTTCCTGGTCGCCCAGTCGCTGAAGTTCCAGTTCAAAGTCCACCATGCCCATCTGGCCGCGCGGGGGATCTATCTGGACCTGCAGGCCTGTCCGGGCGTCGGTCCGCTCGGCTTGGAGCGACTCTCCCAGGCCTGGCCCGAGGTCTGCGCGCTGCTCCGGACGGGCAGACTGACGGATGCCGAGTTCCTCTGGACGCCCAGTCAGATCGCCTGTGCGGCCTGGTGGGTTGCCGATCGGTCGGCCACCGAGGCCTGGCTCAAAGCCAAGGCCGACCGTCTCCAACCGTCCCCTACTGACATCCCCTCAACCTGCTTGGGCTTGGATCCACTCACCCAATACCTTCAATCGCTCTCCGAACTCCTCATCCAGGCTCAGCGGAAACCCATCGATAAGGATCGCGTCACCGCAGTCGATCGCAGACTCCGCTTCTGTCGTAACCCTGAGAAAGACCCTAATAGCGCACTCTTTAAGATCAAACAGGCCGAACTCGAACATGCTCATCTCGCTAAACATCATCAGAAATATCCCCCTAATTCTAATCAAGACCCGTTCTCTTGAATCTATATACTTGTACTTGCTTCATCCCCAAATCCATTGTGCACTTTTTTTTTGTAACTTGTATTCCCCCCTCCCCTCTTGTCTTTTTTTCTAAGAAAGAAAAACTGATCTCGATCGTTGAACTTCAACTGAAGAAGAAACCTTGGACTCAAAAAGACAGATATGTTCTCGCTGGATCATCCCTCTCTCCTGATGATTATATCGACCCCATTCTTCTCATCTTCGAACCTGATAACAACAAATAACCCTTTTTTTGGGGAGTTTGTCACACAAGGAAAAACAGGTGTGAATCTGGTCGGCTTGGGTGAGGTTATCTTTTGGGTGTGTTTTTTGAGGGTTCTGGTTGGGCTTGGGTTTATATTTGTGTTTGGACTCTGCGAGCTGTACTTGGTAACTTGGCTTTGCTTTTCACTTATAAAGTTGGTGATGATAACTTCAAGTTTAATGATCTAAATTACAAAAAAAAAGCGGAACAAAAAAAAAGGACAGAGAAAGATCCGCTTGGTGATTTCGGTTTCAAATGCGGAAACGGAACACAGACTAAGAGGTGGTTTGATTGTTGGGCATGGGGTGAAGCTGATTATGTGGAGAGTTCCTGGTTCGGTGGTGGGGGTAAGTTGAGGATCATGGGGATAGCTGGTGAACGCCAAAAAAAGAGAGTATGTGGATCAGGGATATTGTATTGTAAGAGACCCAGAAGATCCGAAAAAAACAAGAACAGACAAAGAAGAGAAAGCAGAGACGCACGAGTAAGAGCGGGAGATTTGAAGATGAGAGATAGATTTCAGGCGATGAGCTATGCAGTCAGGAGTCTTTCTTCTTCCTCTTCTGCAGGTCGGTACTGGTTGTATTGTTGTTCTGCTCGTCGTCGGATTCGGAGAGGGCGGCGAAGATGTAGCCGACCAGGATGATGTTAGTGACGACGATTGCCGAGATGGCAGCTGCTGTGGTGTTCGTCTCTGGATGATCGGTCAACGTCCCAAGTCATTCTCAAAAAAAAAAAAAAAAAAAAACCCCATCCCCGCTTTTTTGATTTATTGATTGGAGAAAATGCTGACTGTCAAAGACGTGTCCTAGGGTGCCGAAATAGGTCCCGATCGGGAGGATTGCCTGGTCGCGAACTTGTGAATCATCAGCCCACACATCCCGAGTAGGCTACAGAGAATCATCGAGGGGAGATTTGAAACGAAGAGGAGTGGAGAAGACGATGAGGGCGATATACCATGGACAAGCTGACGATGCCTAGCTTGAAGATCGGCCGACTATATAAATGAAAGACTGATCTGTTATTTTTTTTCTTCCAGGTTCATACGATTTGACAAAAAAGAAGGCTACAACGCTCAACTTGTAATCCGATCCGATGGGTGCGCGTCCTGGATTAGATGAAGATGAGAGCGAGTTCTGGTCGGCGGAAGGGTTCTGGTCGGTCTTGCGTAGTCTGAGCTGGCTCTCGGGCGTGCCCATCCTGTCTTTTTCGTGAACGTTGCTGGTCGTTGTCGGCGTCGTCCTGCTTTTAGCTGAGGCCTGGTGGATTGACGGTCTGAAGGTTGATTAATCGGGCGGCTGGGATCGGGCCACCGGGCTAGCCCGGCTCTGCCCGCGTCTCGATCGGACTGGCCGGGCCGGGTCCACACACCAGGTCTTGCTGGCCGGCCCTATCCTGTGTCCATCTTCTCGGGCTGCCCGGCAGCAGCTGCTGGACACGCTTTCTGGCCAGCCAGCAAAGCGGGTCACACTGGGAGCTTACAGGCCAGGCTCACAAAAAATAGATTTTTTGGTAATTCCATGGTGGCATTGAGGGTACAGATGTGACCTTTTGGGTAAGAAATCAAGGGTAGACACCAAAACTGTATACATTGGGTTATCCTTTGTCAAGGGACCCTCTCACCTAGGTAAAACTCTATTTCCTTTCCCTTTTTTTGTTGGTTCATTTAATTGATGCTTTTTTTCACACATTTTCATGATACATTTTTGAAGAAAAGAAGAAGAAGAGTTGGCTGGTTGGATGCTCTCATGGCCAGAAGGGAAACCCTCAAAATTCTAGCCAGAGAGAGGAGAAAAAAACCCACTGGTTTTGTCAGCTTGCTACTATAGCAGAGACAACCTGTCATAGTACACAAACATAATATAAAATACAAACAAAAAAAAACCATTATTACTTGCCAGACATGTTTTTAGATGAATAGTACTGAAAATAAATGAGAAGATCAAGTAATAAGGGCATTATTTCTCAATATTATTAATCTATATGAAGAATAACCTAGGGTACCTCACTCAAAAGTACCCTATATTTCAACTACTTCATGCAGGAAATCTACATTAAAGATATAGGGTGTACCTCCAAGCAGGAAATGAAATATGCTTATGTTTATAATTAAATATGCAAATAAACAGGCCTAGGACTTCAAACTGATTTGCTGTTTCAAACATACATTTGTATGTTGATAACATGTGTGTGGCACATTTCCAAGGAAATAGCCACATGTTTCAGCTTTCATCTTCTACAGAACAACTGTGGTTTCCAAGGATATGGTCACATGTTACATCCTCCATGCATGAAGCGCCCACAAGTTGACCCTGATCTCCCAGATGCCTCCACGGGTATATAAAGAGCCCTCTGTCCCTCCAAATAAGGATTCATCAGATTATTACAACCCACTTTAGATTACCCACCATCCCAAATGCTTAACATTTGTATCTGTCTGTTAATGTATTGTCTCTTGCTTTAATTCTCTGTCTATCAGAACCTCAAGATCTTAAGGAGCATTATTAGTACATAATTATGCTCCTTTCTTTCTTGAGATTCTCACTACTTTATTCTGGGATTTAAACCACAGCTTTTCACAGGCCCCAGTGTTAACAGGTACCTAAATCCTCTGCTTTTGCACAATACCTTTGAGGGATTAAACAACCCCTGATTTATCAGGCCCCTCTGTTTAAATTATATCAACATTTATTAATATAATTAATCATATCTACTATTTCTAAACCTAGTAATTACCAATCATCATTGGAATTACCACCCGGACTCTTTAGTCCCAGAGATCCAACTCCAACATCTTACGTTTTGCACCATGTGTAGCTAGAAGGGATCCTCCTTGGCATCACGGCGGCTGACAGGTTTGGGGGGCCTCCTGGAAGAAAAATTTGAACAGTCAAGGAACTTGGGTTGCTTGGACAAACAAACCAATCAGATCAAAAAATCTGGATTTAAATTAATGAAATCCTAATCAACAACCTAGTTTATACCTTTTTCAGGGTTTGAATCCTGCAACTTTGAATAGGGGAGCTCATAAGACTGTTTTTCTATTTTTGCATGGTTGAAAAACTCTGCCCAATTCTTCATTTTAGCCTCAAATCAACACTACACTAGATATCAGTTACAGATCAGTATGGTAACTGACTTTCACCCATTATTTTACTCATACCTGTTCCAGTAAGATTGACATAATATCCATCCAAAAGTAAATGTGAATCCATTACAACTTCTGACTCCAAAAAAGGTCACAGATCTTGTGTTTTCTGTGTTACACTATTGGCTGTCTGGGGGGGCACTTTCTGTTACAATACAAGGCACAGAAAAGGGTTTTTTTGACAGTAATGAAATTGTGTCACCCAGTAGCAATCAATTGTTACAATCCTTCAGGCATCATAGTGTCCTAGGAGGGGTGTACAATAGTGTTTTGAGTATGTATGGGCTGAGGTTTTGACAATACACATGCATACCACTGCAAGTTTGGAGAATGTTTCTTGCAAGAAGATATCCTGAACCCTGCTGATATGCATCATTTGTATACTTCTAAAACAGGAAACCACAACCTGTATGCCAGTCATGACCCCTATTTTACCAGAGTGTGTCTGTTGCATAATTAAATATGTAATTTTGCTGCTGTGAAATGTGCTATGACCATTTATCACTGGGTGAAGCAGAAAGAATGCAACAGTACAAAAAATCATCCAAGTACATTTGATCAAGAAAAATGAAAAATTAATCCTTTTTTGGTTTCCTCCTCATTCCTTTCTTTGAAGATTAGACCTATGAAAAATAAAGTAGTAATTATGAAGAATTTCTTGAAATCTGGGCTAATCATGGCCTTGCTTGACCTCAACTACATTCTCTCAGCAATTGATACCCAGGGTCTTAGTTTGCTTTCAGATGCTGTATCCATCTTGGATCAAGAAAAAAATCCAGTCAATGGAAATCAATTGAAGGCAGGTTTAGCTCATCCTGGGAAAACTGGGGAAAACTTGATGAAAAATTTTGCATCATCCCCAAGACAGGAGGATCACACAGGGACAAGCTTTATTCAATATTACCCAAAGGGTCCAGAGAAAAAATGTGGAATTGCTTGCACAAGCCTCCCACCATCATCAGAAAACTTAATGGATTTGAGCTCAAGTCCCAATTATTTTTGGTGTTCCACAACAGGAAAGAAACAAAAACACAGAGGATTAAGCTCATTTGGTAAGTTGAAATCTTATTCTGTTGGTCTGTGCTGTCTGATAGGCAAGATCATGATCAATAGCATTTCTGATTATTCATTGTAAATGGCCTTTTGTAGATGATTTTAAGTTTCATGAAAGTATTGAAGTTGGAAATGAGAATTCATCACTTCTGCAACCTGTCCTTGGGTCAGGGAAAAAGCGCCGATTGAAGAAATTTGGAAAATTTGGTAAGTGAATATTTTATTCCATTCCTCATGTTGAAGAGAAGAGTCAATTATGTCAACTGTATTGGGTTTGTTTTCTATTCATAACTTCAAAATGAAAAAGGAGATCAGGATTCTTCCCTTGTCAAAACTGCCTGCTACATCAGAAATTATGAAGCTTATCACCCCAATCCAAAACGCCCAAGATTTGATTTGAATTTATCTTGGGATCCACTGGCTTGCAGTCAAGATGCAGATACAAATATTCAAAATTCAAGTGGTTTCCAATCACCAAGACTTCATTCTACAAGTCAGTTGATCCAAAATAGCTCTGAAAAAAAGAGGAGTACAAGTATATCAAAATGGAAACTAATCATTCTGTTTTTGGTTGGACTTGGCTCAAAACAACCTAGGTAAAACACTTCCTTTGGATGCTAATCATATGGTAGAACAAATTTTGGAAAGAATTCCAAGGTCACCAGTTAGTTGCAGACAGGGTATGGATGTCAAATTTGATGAAGAATTAAGAGCTCAAGTTCCTTGTGTTGAACAGTTAAACACATTAGATAAAAATAAAGCTGAAGTAGAGGATGTATCAATGGAACACCAATGTGACAATAGGAGTTTTTCTGCTGTTTTGCCACAAATCGGCTCACGTCCCAATGGCAGACTGACTAAAATCACATCAAACCAACAAAAGGGTTTGGCATTTCCAAGACAAGGCACCAATCAATTGTCAGACTCCAGCTTATGGGTTTCAGTTTTGATTGTATGGAAAAAATTGGAATATTTCATATTTGAGGATGCCAAAAACCATGTCTCACCGTCAGTAGAACACTTTGCACGTAATTATGTTTCCCATAGCCTAAACTCTGATGGTGAAACCATAGAATCAAAAGTGTTTACTGGGGAAAGTTATGAATTAAAAAGAAAATTCAGAGAGCTGGCTTGTATGGTGTGGGTTGTAAATCTTCAAATATTGGTATCTTTGGGGAAAAAAAGTTCAAACTTTTCATACCTTCATGAGCAAAAGTCCATTTTCAAATGGCTTGCAAGGTTCTTAAACAGGTGCAATAAGCAATTGAAAATTAGTGAAAATCAAAATATTTTTTTGGAAAGTGAAGAAGGGAAAATTTATCAAACATTCACACTTGCAATTCATGCAACCATAGATATGAATGCATATGAAGTATATCAGGAAGGATTGAACAAAAATTCTCATTTTATATCAAACCCACAGATAATGATGAATCAATCTGCAGTTAGGATTGTGGGTCATTACTATAAAAAAATGCACAAGCACAAATGGATATCTCTTCTTGTGAATGACCAGAAATATAACAATGAACATTCAAAACTTGGGCAGCTCTTCAGAAAAAAATCACCACAAGAATTGGAAGCTTTACATCTCTTAATTGTGAAGATTGGTTGCCCAATACCTTGGAAAGCCTTTTTCCCAGAAAGGTTACTCAATGCAATCCCAAGCACTATCAATGAGGAAAAGATAAATCATTATATCAAGCCTGTTTTCACTGAAGGAAATATAGAAGACATTCAACCTTTTATAACTAGGTATCTATTTGACTATCAAAAAGCCACAGGAAGAGAATTGGCATGGATTGCAAGAGTCAGAATACAAAAAAGTAAAAAGACTCATAGATTATTCCAACCAACTTCTGAATCAATTATGAATCAAATAAGATCTTACATAAGTAATATTGCTTATAAGGAGGGACTTTCTACAGTAGACAAACAACAGATCCAGGGAAGATCTGACAAGGATTTCTTGTTGACATTGGATAAGATATTTGAAATTATTTGGGAATTGAATAAAAAGGTGCTCCTTGCTTTTGACTGTGCTGAATTCAGTGAAGACTTCATAACTGAGCAAAAACTGGTTCAGCTATCATTTTTATCTTGCTTTTCTGAACTAACAGAGGAAAAATTGGGAAACATTCCAGAAATCAATACATGTATGAAGCACAATAGAAGAATTTTGAATTTGATGATGCATATATTGGTTTCATTCAAAGATGAAAAGAAATTCACAATTGACCATAAAAATAGCAAAGGCTTTATTTCATCAATTTTTGTAGAAGAGGATTTGATAATCTCCAAGATTGTAGTCAGTATCCTTGGAAATTATTACAAAAACCAAAACAAGCAAAAGTGGGATTTCTTCTTTGGGACTGAAGAATACTTTTTTAAATATCTTCTCAGCAGAAGCACAGAGCTATACAACAGTACACAAAGAATAAATCAAAAAGGATATATAACTCAGATGCTCAAATTACACAAAAATATACCATGGATTGATGAAATTGATAGAAGAATGCCCCAACTCCATCAAAAACTTGGAGCTCAAAAAATCACCAGACTGGAATTATATGTCAAACCTTATGTTTCACACTAACATTTCCAATATTAAAGTCAACAATTGAAAACCATTGAGACAACTGTTTTTCAATAATCTCAACCAAAAAAAAAAACAGCATAGAAATCTCCCTTTATTCTTTCATCATTCATGCATCAGACTTTTCAAACATATCCCACCAGAGTTCACAATTTGAGATCTACTGTTACACTTGAAGCTGGTCAGGTCTGACAGCCACTACCAGATACGGCCAGTAACTCAGGGGCACTGTTTCCTTCAAGAAATCTGAAATACTCATCATTTTATTACACCTATCATTTCATTTTCATCAGTCAGACTTATGGATAAGATATTTAAGACTGGAGACATTAAACCCAAAGCCAGATTAATGCTTTGAGGGTTTTGGATGCAGGAAAATGTGCCATTGAAGGAACTCTCTCACATGAATGGTGGGCTGATGTATTAAAATACTTTTTTTTGGAACCTTTGGCCCAACAGATTTCTCTTTTTTATTATTTTCCAAAGGTTATCAATTTTTTGTTACTTCAAAATACTTGACCAACACTGGTATATTTATAGGTCCACTCACTTCCAGAATAATTGGCTAGGCTGAGGGTATGCCAGCTAAACAGGGATGTGCTCAATAACTGAAGGGTTCCTTCATAATATCAACAGTTGTATGTCCCCTTTTCAGGTGAGAGAGAGAGTATAACAGAGGAAATTCTGAAGTTCTGGTACATACAAGAGCCAAAGTCAGGACAAGGAGGATTCCACAAGTGAGATAGAAAAACTGTGCTTGACTCAAAAGTGGACTGGCAATGCTAATGATATAAGTGTTAGGGCCGCACAGCATATGTATAAGCAGAATCCCGCCAAGGTCTAGCCTGGCACAGTGGAATTCTGCCCCATCTGCATTAGTGCTACATGCACTGGCCCCCAAATTCTTTTTTCTAACACTACAAGATTTGTGTGTAAAAAAAAGCCATTACAGTAACCCTTTTTTTTTGGAGAAAAAGCTGTTATGGGCTGTTGTACCCAGGGTTGATTTTCAAGGTTTGAGAGGTGATGTTTTGGGTGTTTCTGTCCTAGTCTCTGTGTAAGTTGATCTTGAATATGTGATAAGGGGTGTTCTGGGGATAGGAGATGAGGATCTTCAGGTTTCTGGATCTTGATGGTAGATTGCAAGATGAGGAATACACACAAATTAGAACTAAAGAAAACTCCAAGTTGGGGATTTGTGACATGTATTTACAAGCCCAGGCTCCAACTCCAACAAAACCACAGTATAGCAATAGTTGTCCACCATTGCTTCAATTGTTGGGATCACCTCATTCCATGGCAAATTTAAGTTCACTAAATGTTCCTGGGTCCTATGTAGTTGCATAAGAATGATCTCATACTTTGTCAAGCTTCAGATCATTTAAGGTGGGGAGCAGCCACTCCAGTATTTAGCCAGTATCCCTCCCTGTGCTTTATACATCGCTTTATACATTGTTTATGATCTCCAACCACTTTGAATCACACTAGGACGGTCCAAGTCTAGCGTTTTAGCTACTTTGCTGATCAGCCACCAGAAGCAGTAAAATGTATGAAAGTGTTTGGCCACACTAGCACTATAAGTAGACGGAAACAGGACGGTCATCAATCTCAGCTGTGATCTCCCCATATTTCAAGAGAAAAAGAAGGGCATCCAGCTAACTTAGCAAAGTCCTCCCTGAGTGCGGGAGGTTGGATTTGGGTGGTGCTTCAGTTTGGCTGGTGGCAAAGCCACCCCTCCCACAGGGAGGGACTTACAAACTATGCGGGGGCGCTCGCTTGAGCCCACTCACCAAAAAAGGCTGGAAATTCACTCTTTGAATTCTCCAGCCTGTAGTTTACAAGCTGTCTGTCTCAGCTAGCACCAGTTGACTCTTGTGTATCAAGTCAATTTTTAGAACTCATCAGCTTGTTGAAATAAGAACATGTTTATCTTAAGTGGATTTAGGATGGAGTCAAGAAATTATCCATCCTTCTGCGCTTGAGCATGAGAAGTTTGTGCGTCATCTTTCTTCTTTGCTTTAATTGTTTGACAATATTTCTTGCAAAACTGAGCTGGTAGAAGCAAAGCTAAGGTTCTCACAAAGAACTTCCCCAGCAGAAACACATGTGTAGCTCAAAAAGTGAGAGAGCTGAAGGTTGTGTAACTTGACAAGGTTTCCAGATCCTCTTGGGCAAGCACCCCTGCTTTAGTCTTAAGTCCCTCCCTGCAGGAGGGGTAGCTTTCCCACCAGCCAGTGCTTCACACCAGCAAACCTCCCACCAGGGGGGGACTTAGTTAAGTTAGGGCATCCAGTAACCAACAAAGAAGATTTTCTTTTGGTTGAGCTATGAATTTGGTGGTCAGATTTTACCAACCCAGTAAAGTGGCTTATTAAAAGCCAGACATGGACCTTCCCACTGTGTATTTGCAAGACAATTCACAAGCTTTCATTTTCCTCTCCCTGTTTTGAATGGAAGTTTGGAAAGTAGAGTTGATCATGACAACTTTGATTTTTATTATATGATAATCATCAATGAGTATAACAGAGAAAAGAGGAAGGAATATATAGATAAGTGTGTTGATTCCAATTTGATCTATTTATCATCATCAATCAATCATCTCCATCATACACAAAAACACATCAATGTGGAATTCCATTTCATGCCTCTAAAATAATCAAACTAAGCAACCAACCAAAGAAAAAGAAAAAAAAGAGAAAAATCATTGATGCGTATAATAAGTGATATGAGACCAAGCATGTGCACAGAAACCCTGCAAGACCAACCAACCAAAAAAAAAAAAGACAGAAGAAAGAAAGAAAAGAAAAAGGGGGGAGGATATGTGTGTGTGAGAGAGAGAGGGTTGTGTATGTAGTGTAGCAGTATTGGAAGGGATGGTAAACAAGAAGAGAGGTGGGCAAGAGAGAGAAAAAGAGAGGGAAACACTGAAAGAGAAAGAGATATGGAGATGAGCAGAGAAAGGGAGAGAGAGAAAAGACCGCAAATTTCTTGATCATCATAATAATAAACAAGAAATGGAAATGCAATACATACATTGTAAACCAAAACACACACACAGAGAGAGACAGAGAGAGAGAGTAACAAGTTCATACAAGAGACAGCTAGTCTCTGATCCGACGAGATCTTTTTTCTAAAAGATTTCAAACACAAAAAAAGGGGGAGAAGGAAGGGGGGGATCAAGAGTCGACGGAGAAGATGGGACAAGTTTCGAGTTGGTGGCCGTGTTGGTCGCACAGTTCGCACGGCTCATTATCTTCTTCATCTTCATCATCTTCATCATCATTGTGGATGTTGTTGTTGTTGTCAGGAGAAGCAAAAGAATGGGTCTGGCCTCTCTGCTGATGAATATGATCATCGTCTTCTTCAGTTAGATGATGGTTGTCAGTAAGATCGTCATCATTCACGGGATTGTCTACCGAAGGAAAATAGACCCGCTGGGTCTGGAGCGATCCTTGATCTCCGACGCAAGCCAAATCGTTATGGTGATGGTGATCATCGGCATCATGATCAGTGACGATCATCCGGGTGCGAGCGAGTTCGGGCGCCGAGACAGCTGGCTCGGATTCAGGCCGGTCTTCGTCGGGTTCCTCTTCCTCGACCAACGTGGCATCAGCGTAGAAACGGCGGTCGTCGACAAACTCGTCGAATCCGGGGCGCTCTTGACCGGCCTCCTGGAGCCCGCAGAGCGCCGAGAAGCGCTTCGAGGCCCGTCCGCTCGGTGCATGGCTGGCCCCCGTCGCTGGCAATAACGCCGCTTGCTGGCCTAGCTCCAGCGTCCGTCGACGCCACACCTTCGTCCCCCGTCGTTGTAGCTCAGTTCCCGGCGAGCCGCCGATCATCGACTGCGGCCGCTCGTGTGCTCGCACCGGCGACGATTGAATCAGTCGCTCGTTCAGCCGCTTGATTTCCTCTTCCAGTTCTTCCTCCTGGAAGATCTTGCTCTCGATGATACTCTCCAGTTCGCTCACCTAAGAAAAAAAGGGTGTCCGAAAGGGTGTCAACAATATATTTAGAAGATCAATCTCAAACGATCTGACCTCTTTATTGAGTGCTGCCACCTCTCGACCATGTTTCTGTTCGAGGAAGGCCAGCTGACTCTTGAGTTGATCGATCTCGAGCTCGAGTTTCTTAACCTTCTTATAATCGCCGATGATGACCTCTCCGGTCTGGAGCTGGTGCGGGCGATGGTCGCCCTCATTGTTGGTCATCGTCGTCGTCGTCGTTGTTGTCGACGATGCCGGACCCGATGGCTTCTGTTGGTTGCTGATCTCACTCAGTAAGCCGATCTCGTTTTCGATCCCTAGCTCTTGGACTGAGTACTTCCGACTCAGCCCAATCGTCTCAGACCGAATCCGGTTAGAGCCTATCTTCAATTGTCCCGACTTAATCAACTGGGCCAGTTTTTGCTCCAACAACCGATTATCTTGTCTGTGTAAATATAATTAAAAAAATGAACATAGGTGCTATGGATAGGATATGTTGAGAGGGAGTAGACAGGGGCTTACTTGAGTTCTTCGATCTCTTGCTTTAATTCGAGATTGGCTTTCTCAAACTTGGCACGTTCATCGTCCGATTGACGGGCGATCAACTTCAAGCCTATGATTTGTTGGTTTGCCTTGGTGAGCTCCTTGGCCGCGTTACTTTCGTCAACCTCCTTGCAGGAGATCGAGCGGGACATGACGCCCGGCCGGGGGCTGCGATTAAAAGACTCGTCCCTCCAAAGCGATTGGGTACTGGTCTTGTGACGTAACCTGGGCGAGGAGTGCTCGTGCCCGATCGTCGCGCCTCGGGCGGGCGAGAGGTTGTGGAAACGAGATTTGGGGTGGAGCTCGAGTTGCTCTTCAAGCTCCTCGAGCTTGCTGATCAGCTTGAGGTTCTCTTCGTCCTTGATCAACAATAGCCTTTGATACTTTTGAATCACTAGCATCTTCTCTTGGTCCATGATCGGCTGACTATCGGTCTGATTGGTAGTATCGAGACTCGGCTTGGATTGTTCTGGGAAGGAGTTTCGGTTGAGTTGAGCCTCGAGGAATTCGATCCTCGATTGCTTCTCCTTCAACTCTGATTCTAGTTGATCATGTCTAAAGTTCGAGCTACTCTTGCTCACTTGTATCGAGCGTTCCGATCCTCCTCCGGTAGCAGTATTAGTCACTGTTGCGTTGTCGTTGTTTTCGGATCTGCCCAGACGCGGGGAGAGTTGCGAGGGATGCGGATGGGATGAGGATGCCAAGATCTCGGCCCTCAAACCTTCGAGTTCGACCCGTTCCTGTTCCATGGTCTCCAAAGTTTCCTTCAAGCGAGTCTCCGCCTACGTTAGTTTGAACTGTAGGCTGACCTTCTCCTTGTCGAGCATGGCAGCCTCCTCCCTGGCACCCTTGACGCTGAGGATGTGTTGCTGTAAAGTTTGGTCATGAGTTTCACTGAGTTGCTCGCGTAGCTCGCGTTCGCTGGCCAGCTCCTGCTTTAGTTGATAAGCCTCATCCTGTACTTCCGAGAGTTGTTCCTGAGTGTACTTGAGGTCAGCTTTCAAGCTCTCATTGTCGATCTCGACAGCTTCGAGATGGTTAGGTGAGCTAGTCGATCGTGATAGGGATGATTTGTTGATTTCGGTTTGATTTAGTTGAGCTTTCTGTAACTCTTCTAGTGTCAGTTTGGTTGTCTTGAGTTCTTCTGCAATCAACTCGGATTGATGTAGTTGATCTAATCTTAATGCTTCGAGATCCGAGATCTTGTTCTCATAAACTCCACAGAGTGATTGACCGGCTGATCTGAGCTGGTTGAGTTGACTCTGAAGTTCGGCTTTCTCCTTTTCGAACTGTAGTGACTGTTGGGTTGATGCCTCTTGACTGAGCCGTAAGGATTCGTTCAGGGTTGTTAGCTGTTCTTGGAAACGGTTGAGTTCGAGTTGGTTGTTTTGGTTGAGTTCTTCCTTGAGTTTCTCTAGTTGGACTAGTTTGTCCTCTTCAGCTTGTTTTAATGATTCTTTTGAGCTTTCAAGTTCTCTCTCTAGCTCTTTAGATTTCTGGAGATGTTGATTCTCAAGTTCAGAGTGTTGGAGTTTGTTCTGCTCGACCAGGTTCTCGAGTTCAATGATCCTTTGTTGGATTTGGATGACTTGTTCGGGTGAAGTGGAGGGAAGTTCAGGTGGTACG